TTGATACTTAATAATCATTCTATATCTTTTAGCCTACGCATCATCATACGACAGAGTATAGAATGGCAGTCAACTATCTACCTCACCTCAAATTCATCCATTTCAAAGCGACCTACGACAGTGTCGACCGAGAAGTAATTTGGTAAGCAGCTCCTTCAACACTACGGTTTCAGTACCACAACACGCTCATCCACCTCATTCAATAGCAACTATATGCTATGTGGAGCTACATGCCACACGACACATGCCAAGTGATGCACGATGGAAAGCTCAGTGATGCCTTCGAAGTGAAGTGAAGACAGGAGTAAGACAAGACTGCCACCTACTATCATCAATGATCCTCCTGATTGTCGTCCACTTGACTGGACTGGATCATGCAAGGAAGTGTGAGGATCTGTGAGAAGATGAGCATACGCTGTTTGACCGATGCGATGGAGAGAGCTCAGAGGGAGATTTGGATTTCGCCACACCGGTGATCATGATTCATGTTCGATACAATACATGTCGCTCGTTTCATTGATACTTCCTGCGTCAAGGTAATGCCAGAAAGTTATTATCCATTCATACCAGAAGAACGTCTCCATGCATACTCATTTCGAATAATATAAGTGGCCAAAAGTTGCACTTTAATTCCGTAGTCTAAAACATTAAGTGTACTCATCACGTGGTTTGATTAAACACACAGATTAGTATTAATTGGAAGTGCTCACACTGTGGATAAAGGGTCCACTCAAGTAGTTCAGTGAAGAAAATTCATATCTATCAGGGAATTCCTGTAGAAGCCTCACAGATAAGCTGCAAAATAGTCAACAATCAAGAACATCTAAAAAATCTCTTCCATTTCCAATGAGTGATTTTCATTGAAATTCTAAAAATCTTCCTCAGCCGTTTTGCAGCTTATCTGTGAGGCTTCTACAGGAATTCCCTGATAGATATGAATTTTCTTCACTGAACTACTTGAGTGGACCCTTTATCCACAGTGTGAGCACTTCCAATTAATACTAATCTGTGTGTTTAATCAAACCACGTGATGAGTACACTTAATGTTTTAGACTACGGAATTAAAGTGCAACTTTTGGCCACTTATATTATTCGAAATGAGTATGCATGGAGACGTTCTTCTGGTATGAATGGATAATAACTTTCTGGCATTACCTTGACGCAGGAAGTATCAATGAAACGAGCGACATGTATTGTATCGAACATGAATCATGATCACCGGTGTGGCGAAATCCAAATCTCCCTCTGAGCTCTCTCCATCGCATCGGTCAAACAGCGTATGCTCATCTTCTCACAGATCCTCACACTTCCTTGCATGATCCAGTCCAGTCAAGTGGACGACAATCAGGAGGATCATTGATGATAGTAGGTGGCAGTCTTGTCTTACTCCTGTCTTCACTTCACTTCGAAGGCATCACTGAGCTTTCCGTTGTGAGAAAACGGTAAAACCTGTTCTTGTTTATTTAATGTAGGTTGCAGTGTCTATATAATCAATGTCAAGTGAATTTTTACTCATCAGCAAGTTCTTCATGAATGAACTGAAAGTGCAATTTCTACTTAAATACCACTGTCCCCACGCTGTAACAAGCTGTCATGTATTTTGTAAAATGAGTTTAAATATTAAATTCCTAAAATGTCAATTTCCTTGATTATCGTAAGTGATTAAAGAATGGAACGAAGGTTTCTGTGTATAACATATTCAGTGAACCATTTACCAGATGAAGCGGAGGCAACGTACTCCGGTTTAGCGCACCAAGTAAACACATGGCATCAGATAGGTGCTAATAAACTCTTCAATGTCATACCTTTTGTATTCCGTGTGCAGCTCACTGATGCATCCTCAGCATGTCTGAAGCTATTGCAACAAGACGAATTAATGAAAAAGAAACTGCTACTTTTATGAGTTTTAATCCAAATGGTAACCAACATTGTCAACACTGAGAAAGAATTTGGTATCCATATAAAATTCTTTAGTGAGGATGATCTAAGGAATCACCCCAATGCTTTCAGATTCGCACTGTTCAAAATGATCTTTTTATAAATCACTATAGAAAACGCATTCTCTTTTGATCAAGTAGCACAACTAATCTAGTCCTGCAAACAGGTCATATACAAAATCTATTACTGTCTTTCTAGAAAATCTTGGTTCAGATTACTGTGATGTTTGTGTCTATCTAAGAAGGTGAGATTGGGATCATTTTATAAGCGCTAAGGTGAACCAAACTTTGCTGCAGAGCTGACTATCAACTAATTTTTGAAATGTAACATCATATATAGTCTATGAATGTGCCATGTGGCTTAACTTACTATTCACACTCCATCGACGAATTTCGGTGAGTGTCAGCATGGTTGAATAACATTTGTCAATAAATTTGTAAATTAGTTGAAAGTGTACAAATGTTCTGAATTTTCTTGCATGTCACAATAGGTTACTTCATTGCATACTGATATTATAGTATATTCATATGACGGGATAATATAAGCAGCATCAATTAAATTATACCCATTAAACAAGAAGTAGCTGTCGTGACTCGATGACCTAGGGGATAACGCACTGGGGGTTCAAGCGTTCGGTCCCGTGTTCAAGTCTTAGTTGAAACAATATCATTCACTGGAAGGTAAGCACATCCAGCTGACGAGTTCCATATAGGATTAATTACACATCCTGGATTCCAACGCTAGTCACTATCTATCATTATTATCAAAACTGTATCGTATTGTTTAAGTATGGTTTTACTGCATCAAGAGTTTGATCTACAGTAACCTTGAAAGTCCTGATATGTTACGTTCAGCTACTTTGTTGTATATAGTATTACTCTTTTACAAACTATTAAACGGAAATGAAGTCTACTCTTTGTATAATCTAATAACTAAGTATTGCCATCTTCAGTTATGACTCAGCATACTTCGTATTTCATTGGTGGTGTAATATACTTTTCTTGTAAAATGAAGTAAATGTCCAGCTGAAATCCGTTATATTGTAATGAGATGCTTTGTAAGCTGTGTTGTAAATGTAATAGAAATATACCATTGATGTAATGATTCATTCAACCTCCAAGTTTCGCAAAACTTATGTATATAAACCAACAAATCAGCTTGTTAGATCTTGTTGAATATCCTCCTTCTTCAGGTAGAAGTTCCCTTTCATCATTATCAACTTGTCTTCATATTGTTTTTTTATCTCTGAGTAATTTTGAGTTCTCCGACAAACGAAAAAATTCCGATCATTCATAATGGTTAATGTGAATCTAAACGATCTGCCAAGACTCAGTTATATTATCCTTTAGGTTTACTGAATTCTGGATAGCGGAAAACTTTGGATAACAAACAGTACATTAGGTTCTGCTTAAAAATATGGAGGTAATGAATTACAGTATAAGTATATATTCGAGACATTAATAATTAGAATCATGAAGACTTGTGCTTAACCAAGTACCATGGCTTAGAAATACACTACTGAAAAAGCTGAATAGTTAGAAACCACTAAGTTTCATATGTAGGTTTCGTCAACAAGATCAAAGTGATCTAAACATTTGGGGTCGGGGTTATCAGTGGTATGTCCAAAAGAATTCAGCTCACACAGCCGAACTGTTCAAGTAGTCTGGATCAGGCTGGCTAGGTGAATTACCTTGACTGGTATACCTTTGTTCAGAGATCAAAATTTCTCAACCCTAAGAGAACTAGAATACAGTTTTATCTGGCTTTCAGTTATGTTTCACTAAATGTAATTTGATGATAAGACCTGCTTTCAAATGTATCCCTTGCGTCTTTAACTCTTTATTAACAATTACAAAAATCCATTTCCGAAAGGCGGTTATTGAAACACAGTACATAAAGATATTCTTATCACAAGATGACATAAATGAAATGGATCTAGTTTGAAGACAGAATATAATACACTAATTCATTCAGTCAGTATCTCGATTTCAAATGGATAAAAACAAACTGCGAAATGCTGAGTGCATGATCATAAATTAATATTGAAAACGAAACAGGTATCTTTTAATTTGTTTGAATTATGTGTTATTCCAGATTATTCAGTAGAATCAAATTTCAAGAGGGTGGTAACTTTGGTCATTAAGCACTCTCCTGTCCATGTCACTAATAAAAGATTATCAGAGCAAGCAAAGTTCAGCAAAGATGATAAGACTTTTAAACTACACTTCGTTATTCATCCCCACTGTAAAAGAGACTAACGTAGAAGTATTTATGTCAGTTTCTTCTCACTATAACATGTTATCATAGATTTATAACACTTATCTGACTAATTCTATCTGGAGGTTTGTGCAGATTTATTGATTTTAAGTTGGTATTCATCATGAACTAACCTCAGTTGGAGGAACACTGCAAACCTGGAAGCACTTGACAACTGTCTGTCCCTGGTGTGGGACTCCTCAGCAGTGAGTACCCATGACCCGCCCCGCTAGAGATCGAACCCAGGACCTTCAGACTCCCTGGCCGGCACGTTACCACTGAGCCACTGGGAAAAATCCAGTGGTACATATTTCCTACTTCTATCAGTTCAAGACAAAGCGAGATAACCTACCCAATGTCATCGTTGAGTATTTGTCTTTAGGGTCACCAGATATTTCTCACCGGTCACGACTTCTCATTGGAACTTTAGGAATCACCCCTCGAAGCTATTCACTAATGAGCACTAGATCAATTTGATTTCAGGGTTTGTGGGGATTTATTAATTTCAAGTTGTTATTCATCAGAGACTGATATCAGTCGAAGGAACATTGGAAACCTGGGAGCACTGGCCAGCTGTTTCGTTCCAGTATGGGACTCCTCAGCAGTGTACACTCATGACCCCTTCAGGGATCAAACTTATCTGATTAGGCCATTTTCGAAAACCTATGAATAAATTCAGAGAAATGTTTGTAGGAGTCATGGAGACAAATATAGTTTGACCTGAAAGAATCACAGTTTGCCAGCAATTAACGTTCGGATAATTGTTACATTCAACACTATTGAGTGAACTTTGAAATAACATTATAAAATCACAATGAGTGTATATATTTCATTAGAGTTTACATTGAACCTTTAACTGAATCACAATAAAGATATAATGTAGCGTTGAAGCTGTATATTAAACATTTAGTCATTCAAAATAAAGTTAATTAAACAAACACTTCAGATCTTCACCTTCTTTGGAAGGTACAAACAATTACGTCCCCTTATTAATTTCTTTCTTCATAATTAATTTATTATCAGTTCAATATAGTTTCTTTCAATGTTAACAATTCAAGGTCAAATTCAATGTGTACAATTCTGAGGCAGTAGCGCTGATCAACTATTTTATGCACTTATTAGTTTAAATAAACGGAAGACGGATCATATAAACGCTAAAGAAAGAACACAATTTGTTTGATTAAAATGCTTATAACTTTTGATAAAAGAAAAGGAAAAATAAAGTAAAGCAAATAAAAATGATAAGTTCTTCAGTTCATACAGTGAATGCTTTCTTAGTTTTGTTCATTCATTACCTTGGTATTTTGTTTTTAAAATTGTAAACATTTGGAAAGCACATGAATTCAGTGTTATATTTATTAACTTCTATTCTGTTTTCATGCTTTTCATCACATTGATAACATCACAGGTTGAAGCAAAGGTGCTGATACTGTTAATACTAGTATCAAAAGGAATGATATTAGCTGTTGTATGATTGAAAATAGTTGAATCATTCGTGTTTATCATTGAAATGGATTGATCCATGCTAGTTGGATGATTCGAACGTTTATGATTCTCTAAGGAACGTGACTGACAGAAACCACGATTACATATTGGACATGAAAATGGTTTAGATGTTAAATGAGTGTAGCTGAAAAAAGAATGATAATGATAATAAAAATTATAAGCACAAAAGTTTTCAACTTTTGAAAAATTCGTGATTCAGTGTTTTTTAATCTTCAACATTCACTTTATTTAATCAAATTGTTCGTAGTTTACTAGATTCTAAGAAGCTACCGGTACTTACTATCAAATGAAGGCGATTAACCTTAGTTGCATACCAATGAATCCTTTCGATTCATCGGCTGTTAATGACATGCAACAGAGTTATAAACGCAAAAAGTCATTTTACGTACAAAGAAGTGACCGATATGCCAGATCATAATAACTTGATTGTTGAGTCTTTAGGCTTTGAATAAAAGTGGACACTACGATCTTAATGAAACATTCAACACTTACCTAAATCTTTCGAAAGGGTTTCTGAAGGTTAAAGGAAAAAATGGCAAAGACTAGTATTGCTCAAACCAAAATAAGGCAGCAGTTTCAACAACTTATGTGTATTTCTCTTCATAGCTACCACAAGTGAAAACTGGTTATACCCAAGCCATGTATAGTAGAAATAAGACAAGGGTTGGAAAATGTCGAAGGCGGTCAGACTAAAATGAGTCATCAGTTTATGGAGTCTCAGACCATTGGTCTAAGTTATACAAGGAAATATTGACCTCCTGTTTAGGGTCAGCGCGATGAGCAAAATAGATTATCGGAGACTCAAGATGACATGGCTCACAGTTTATATCGGAGGTGGGAATCCATTAATGCACTATATTCATTCTAATCGTCAGATCCCATTTCGTTATTCGCTTTGTCCCCTCAACCCATCTGGAATCTTTCAACGACTAATGATCATGTATTTTTCATCCTGGTGCATGGTATCTTAGTGTGTTGTTGTGATGCATTAACGGCAGGTTTCATATTCGCACTGACCAAAAGGGAGATGACCGCCTAATTTTATACTATGTAGTCCTTAATGCTGATCAAGTCATGTCAATCAAACTTGAGAATCTGGTTAATTAACTGAGTTACTCAACGTACTTGCTCATCGTATTTGAAATTGTGTGGTTAGACATAACCATCAGGAAGCTACATAGGAGACTTTTCCGAATTTGATACTCTTCATGATGTAATATGTGTAATCTACAAAATAAGGTGGCCTATTTGGGGATATTCAAATGTTTTCACTAGGTCTTTATTCTGGAACGGAAAAGCATAAGCTACTCAACTCTAAGAATCATACAAAAGTATACCGGGTACCATTCAGTGAATGATCGTCACATATTTGGTCCTATAGGGAGGGGTTCAACTGTATACCAAATAGTAAGACTATTACATCAGCAAAAGTAACACTCAGTGACGTGTATGGAAGTTTCTGAAGCAGAAATAAATTTGTGAGGTTACAGTGGCATTTAACTAGTTAGTGACGACAAGCACAAAAGCTTTATCCAGAGAATCTTCTAAAATGGCTTCAATTGCTCACATGAAATTTATTTACCATTCTGAGTTCATTGTAATATCACAGTCAGCTACTAGCCCCTTCGAATTGGAGGCACAAAGCTGTTATCGTGGAAATGTCTGAATTCTGTCTTGAATTTTCAAATTTTAAAAGCTTTGATAAAGAAGTTATCTTAAACCGCTTAACACCACTTAAAGTCCTATTTAAGACTCGTCAGCTGGATGTACCGGCTTCACAATGAGTGATGTTGTTCCCACCGGGATTCGGACTCGCGAGCGACCGCTCCAAACGCCAGCGCGTTACCCACTACACCACCTAGACACGATTGCTAGCAATATCGAGACATCCGCACAGGAGCCCATACGCTAATAGAAACCGATCAGTTCGGTCCAACCGAAGACGGTATCATATAAAAACCCTTATACTATTAGTAACCACTTTTCATATGTTTAACATTTCAACTGATGAATGTGTTACTTTTATAACTTTAAAGTAAGTTATTTCCCGGAATCAGACTTCAGTAAACAGATTTTTTCAAAATACACCTAAAAACTACCTTCTTGTGATTTCGCAAAGAAGTTTAGAAATTTTTTTTGAAATAATATTTCAAGATAAGTAAACATTTGCATTTGCATAGAAATGATAACCACTCATAGTATTAATCAGTACCTTTTACACTCAGACTTACCTATGATCTCTTAAATGATCTTTACGTCTAAAACGTCTTGAACAAATATCACAACCAAATGGACGTTCATCTGTATGAGTACGTTCATGTATTGTTCTGTTATATGCCTTACTAAATCCTCGACCACAATGTGAACACTTATAAATTGATCGTTTCATATTTAACGTGATTAAATTTTTCGACCTGAAAATAGAATTAAATTTCATTTAATAAATAGTAAATTTAATTCTTTCTGAAATAAAATCATCTTTATGAAAGGAAACCTTTTAATTTTGACTCATATTACACTATTTATTTAGAATAGTCACCATTGTTAAAGCATACTCTGATGGTTCTGCAAACTAATGGTCACTGAAATGATTTTCGATAACGATGATTTATTTGTCTTCCCCATAAATTTATCTCACTAAGTAGTTATCCCTTATATCCCATATTCATCTGTTCAATCATTTTTCTATCCGTCTCAGAAGTGACGGATTACCCATTATTTCAAACACCGAATAATACATTTTTGTACCACTTTTATGGTAATCATTTCTCTAAGAACTAAAACATCGTTCATAAAAAAAAACTTTTAATTAACAGGCGAACAGCTAAATCAGTGACAAGAGAAGAACTCTGTGAAATCAGTTTTAGATAGTTATATTCTCACTAAACATTATTGTTAATTATAGTAACTTTATCTAATTACCACTGGTAAGGACTCTGTTATTTGCATTTTGAATGTATTCAAAATGAATGACATGACCACTAATTCTAACAAAGATAGAAGGGAAACATACACAGTCGTACGAAAGGTTGTTGCAATACATACTTGATCTATGAAGTTTTTCTAGGTTCTATTGTTAAAATAGCTTGAAAAAAGTGTAAATTTCATTTTGTGTTGACAGCTTTATTTATTACATAGGTCTGAATAAAGTTGCTTTCTAAATGAAAACTTAATGAAAAGAATTTCTGTCTTGTATCATGATATGTTTGTTGGTTTTTTGTTTAAATCAGTTGTAATTGAACATAAAAACAAAAAGCACGAATTTTAAAAGATTTAGCAGAATGCCTAGGTTGATCATGTTTCACTCTATAGAGGGAAAAGAAAGAATACAAGCTTATTATAAACATCTAAAATGATTCCATGATAGCCTATTAAATATACAGATTACAACTATGCATCTATAATCATTTAGTTTATGACTAAACAGCTGTAATGTTGTGAATGAGAAAAATAGGCTGCTGTAAAATTGTTCTAGATAATTTTACTAACACAGTATTCTACCTATTTCAGAGTTCAAAACGTCACTTACATAATTTCTTGATTCTCTTTCATGTCTATAAGCATCCAAACAGTTTAAAAGCTTACTTTCTCAACATTCTACTAAAATTGATTCAGATCAGAAATATTTCTAACAAAAAAACTGCACAGAAATAGACAACTGGATGGAAAAAATTCACTATTTTTATTTAATAGTTAACTAACTTAAAAACAGATTATGGGCATCGAGGTAAAATATACTGAAATTTAAATCTGGCCGTTATCACCCAACACGAATTTGAAGACCATACAAAAAGTCATTTTTCATATTGATGCTCAAAATCATTGTTATCTTAAAAGGTGAGATTAAGTTGTTTGAAAATCTTTATGATGGTCTGAAAGTCAGCTACAAACAGACAATAACAACAGAGTAAAGAATTAGATTTTCTTTAATTTATCAACACTAAAGTGTAGTCCGAGGATACCTCATTGCTACTCGAAATACACTTTTACCACTAAATATGCTTCATAAGTTTATCTATTTATTCTGACAAGCTGTCAAGGAGAAATAAACAAGTAATTAAAATTTACAATTATCTTCATGTGCAAGAAAACGACAAGGGATGGAAAGCAGGAAAATATTTATGATGATACTGTGTACATTATTGATGAAATAATGTAATTTTTCCATCGAAATATTCATTTGCACAATGTGTTTCATCTCCTCTTCTTTTTCCATCTTGTTTTCCTCTTCATACGAGCACATCATCTCTTGCGTTTCTCTGTGCAGAATATTACTCATCGCTGGTAATTCCCCACTTCTTGACGTGTACTACTTATATACAGTATTACCCTGTTCACATGTTCCATAAACCCCCATTCTGGCTTTAGTATTGCTCCGAAAACTCTAATTTTCACACGGCCATGACTTCAGTTATATTCAACAAGTATTCATAGGATCTAATCACAAGATGAAGTCGTAAGAAGCATGATTTATTCATTTATTTACCAAAAAAACCCAGATTTCAGTGACACTCGACTCATAGACTAAGTATCGCACGAATTTCTAAAGATTTGCTACTGTTGAAGAATATGTTGTAAGTTTTGTAATACCCGAAATTAATGTATGGATAACATATGGAATGTAAAGTATTGAACACCTATAATTCAATTATTGTTAATAACAAGAAAGTAGTATTAAAAATATCCATTCGACCAGTGAATACAACAAGTGATGAACAGATTGAAGAGATATTTGTCCTGCAAAAGGCGTTCTGCACCTTCCTATCTTATTCTGTTAATGATCGTATTCTTTCTCAGGTTGAACACAGAATATTTCGCAGATATAAAAAAGACTTAGATATAACAGCCAGTATATTCCCGTCGTTAACTGAACCAAACTGACCGGTCACTATTGGCATATGGACTTCTCTTCGGGTGACTCCACATTACCAATATTTTCAGTTCGATCTGAATTTCTGGCTGATCTCAGCGTGGAAGAATCATAAATGAACTTCAAAGAAGAGGTACGGTGATTTGGGTTTCACTTCAGCCTTATTTTGTTTAAAACAAAACGATCTGTTTGAGTTCTTGATAAGACGATGAAAATAAAGATATAGATCAGAAATTTCTATAGCTATCTGACAAAATTCTTGATTGATGAAGTCAAAATGAAAGTCAATCAGCAAACGGTTCTCAGAGATAAGTCAGGAACAAAAGGCTGTTCAATCCGAATCTTACAGAGGTTCAAGATTGCTTTCCATCTTCAGCCATCACTCCCTTTATACTCTGAGAATTAGTAGCGAATTTACAAATACTCTCTACAGCTTTTCTATGGCAGTTAGGCACATCATAAGTTTATACATGCGACAAAAGTGTCAACTACTTTCATTTCCCTTAGTCACATATCAGATTCATTTGTACATTCTAAAATCAAGCTACATCAAGTCAGCTTTGATAAGTTTAGTACAACTGTTACTTTTTGATGCAAATAAAATGACATATTTTCAATGTGATAACACTGGAAAGCTGAGAGTCTTCAAAAATTGCTAACTTGTCATTAAAGTCGCTTTAATATGATGACGACACCACTAAACTCACAGAGAAAATCAGTCGTATCAATTAAACTGTTTACAGTAATGCAAACTGGTAAACTGTTCCTGTGTTCATGATTTAAACACTGACTGCGTAAAAAAGTGATATAATTCTCAAACCCTCTTCGTTTTTCGACCAACAGAGAACCCACTAAGCATACATTTCTTTTAATAAACCTGTTCCAATATAAATATGACTTAGGTGAAGAAATTTTCAGAACTATTTTGGATTCTCATAGTTTAATACCATTTGCCAAAATATATACTTAAGCCTTTGCTGCAGTAGGTCTGATAGAAAAACTGAGACTATCAGAGTCTTCATTTTGGTTGCTAGTTTTTTTGTATCCACAATCTCAAAAATGCTTATTTGATGTGAATTGGAATGACACGATGACGAAGAAACTTTTTGTGAAGTGAAACAGATGGTTACCGCCCGGGCATTCATTGATAGATTACTGTAATAAATAAAAATACCAACTAAATAACAGCTGTGGCAAGTTTGTTCCTTTGTGAACTGATAAGATCAGTTTTCGAATTTCACTGAAGAAATGTCAAGACACTAAGCAGTGAATGATGTAGCACAGAACAGAAGTGGACATTAGTCTAAGTTTCAACACTTCACATCAACACATAAAAGGGAATCCAAGTGGATGTAAACAGTTTAACCAATAGTAATACAAGTAGCTTAAAAATGCGAAAAGGGGAAAGGATTGGGAAAAAGAGTAAACGGTAGAGCATTTAGACTATTATTCTTCAGATGAAGGTAAGACGTTAATAAATGTACTCCACTGTTGTTGAACAACTCTGAATAAGTATCATTATTATAGGTGAAAAACTTGGACACTGTGGTAGAATTTAATTCGATATTAGATTTGTTTATTTGGTTTATAACACACAGTGATATATCATTATTTATTTGATGACGTTTCGGGCATAATTTATTCCTCATAATCATATCAACGTAATCACACTACTTTCGATATTATTTGGTTTTATTGGTAGTAGAATTTTCCATCTCTGGTATAGGTGTTGCGTCATTTCTGTTACATGTGTTGGTTGTTGATTAGATTAACAAAGATTCAGTAATCAATATCTATCCACCTAATTACACTGGACTTAATACAGTGGTTTTATCTCCCCATATTGTGTGACTGTGGGTTAGTGCATGCGTTGCAATAGCCGAGTTTTTTTTACATTATTGATCTTATTCGGGTCTGTCATTCTATGCTTGTCTATTCCAACTGACCCCAACCGTTTAGTCTGACCTACTTGACTTCAAAATCATTACATGGGATTTGATAGATGAGATAATTTTGCTTAATTGGTTCTATCGGATCCTTAATCCATCTGACAAAGCTTATCCTTCAGTGAGTTTGTAGGTTCGTGTCACCCTATCCCAGCTTTGTTGAAGATCCTACGTAAGGTTTCTGACTTACCTCTCTTGTAGAGTAACACAGTAGAGACTGTAGACTCCTTTCTACTTGTGCTGTCGTTGCTATTCGTACTCATGTTATTACTATTATTATTTCGTTTCTTACGTGTTCTTACTAATTTCTAAATAAACTGCTCGGGATAATATGAATTATTAGGGCTTCCTTTATGTGCTTAAGTTCTTTGTTTAGGTCCTTGTACTGACCAGTCAGTTTCCTAGCTCTGTCATTTAAACATTTGACTAGGCCTGCCTTAACTGACATTGGGTGAGATGACTTGAAGTATAAACACCTGTTAGAATGTGTTGGTTTCCTGTTAACGGCAGTATCCAAACCAACATCTGTCCTTTTCCTCATCCTGCAATCCAACATGCGTAATTCTCCTTGTCCATTTTCTTCCTCATAATTGTATTCAGTTGCGCCTATTATTGAGTTTACATGTGTGAGGAAAGTGTCAATATGTTCAGATTTCAACAGTAAATGTGTCATCTACATATCGCTACCATATTTTCGTGCAGAACTATGTTTTCCCAACTATCCATAAATATATCTGCTACGATTGGGGATATGAGCGACCCCATTGTTACTCCTGTTTGTCTATATATTTTGTTATGAAACTTGAAGATTGTGAAAGTCAGGCACAACTGTACACCTAATATGACCTTGTCAACCGATGTCTTAGTCCTGTAAGTTCTGGGTCAATATTTATTTGATTTCTGACTGCTTTCAGTGCCATCTTGATTGTTATTTTAGTATTAAGACTCGCAGCATTGAAGCTAACCATTTTTTCATCCCCTTCTATGTGTAGGTCACTAAGCCTTAGATTTAACTGATAAGAGTTAACTAGTCTGGAGTGTAAACGGTTCCTAATAGGACACAGTATCGGTGCTAAGTACTTTGCTACTTCATATGTTGGGGTATTTCTGAGGTCAATTACGAGTCAAATGGGATAACCTGCTTTATGAACCCTAATAGTGCCATAAATTCTGCTAGAGTTTTTAGATTTAAGCGTTAAATTAAACCATTTAGATTCATCTAGAGATGGTTTTAGCCGGTGTATCAGATTGACTGTAGATTTCCTTATTTAATTCATGACCATGTCTAAAGATTCCTTGATCACTTCATGTAGTTTTCTCTGAATATGTCCGTCATTCTCTCCTACTTCACAATTATCAGGAAGATTATCTTCAAAAAGATCCGAAGCTTTTGTCAAGGCTACTAGTTCACCTTGGTCCTATCTTATATGGCCAACACTACTTTTCGTCATTCTTCAACCCTTAATATGTTGCCACCACCAGTCATTTTGGACAACATCCTACGAGTATTTTATAAATGACTAGCTTGACAGTGCTGATAGGGATGAAGTGAACTAGACGGCTGAGAATCCATGGGTTCTGGATAAGGCATAGGTAATAGACAAACTAGACATTCTTACCTTGTTCTTCTAGTGTTAGTTTATTTCATAATGTTTTAATATGTAGGTAATATCATGCGAACTGCGCGGACCTATGCATCAACTAAAATCGAAACACTAGGATGCTAAGGTTTTTCACTGACTGAAAATTTAGATCATAGTATGAATAAAAAAATATTTGTTTATCTGCCTTCCAAACGTTTGTTCTATAGTTCTCTGTTGCTGATATAGCCAATCATCGTTGTGACTGTCTTAAATTCGCCTCATTTAGAAAGGTCCCCATATCTGATTCTTTTTGGCATGCAAGGTAAGCATTAATGAACATTTAAGAAAAATTCATCTAAAGTACAGCTCTAAACAAACATTTCGGGATGATATGGACGGGTTTAGTACTCCAAAAATATTTTCAGTGAAAACTTATAAACATTTTACTCCTCAATATTCCACTGATTCAAACTTTACTTACCCTGTGTATAAGGATTTTGTTTCTGTAGCTGATTCTTTTTTTGGGATAGAGACCCTTAATTCATCTGAATCTGAATTTATGAATCTTTGATTACCACTGAAACTTATGTCTCTGGCTGTTGTAGAAGAACTAGTATTATTGTAGTCTGTTGAATTAAATTTCATAGCAAGATTTAATGGAGTTGTTTGAACTGGTGTAACATTTTGGTAACAAGCAGATGATAAATTCATTAAATGATCCCAGTTATAAAGATGAAATGAATTAAAATTATTCATGTTAATTGGTAATTTTATAGCTGAACAATCAGATGAGAAAAACGAAGGCAAAGTAGTGGGTAAAGAAATTGGTGAGATATTTTCCACTTGTTTATCACTATTCTCATGGGCCATTAGTTGTGTCAGTAAACTTCTCCATATACGCCATCCAGTGATTGTTTTATTTAAATCTACCATTGATGATGAATTATTCAAAGAAGCTGAGAAAAGTAAATACAAAAGTTGGTATTTTTCAGTTTGAAGTCTTTGATTATACATTGAACAATGTGACACAAACACTATGTTGTTTTCTACTTTTTATATTAGTAAAAACGTACGATATTACTTCACAGACTACTCCAGTTCAAAAAATCGTTCTCACTTAACACCAACATGGTATAGAAAGATGCTGTATTGATCAGATGTTTTGTTCACAGATTAAACTTTACTCATTTGGAACATCCTATTTCAAGTTGTTATTCATCGAAGACTGACATCAGTTGCAGGAACAAAGGAAACCTGGGAGCACTGGACAGCCGTTTCGTCCTAGTATGGGACTCCTCAGCAGTGCGCACCCACGACCCCACCAGCAGGGATCGAACCCGCGACCTTCAGGTTCCGTGGCCAGCGCGTTACCACTGAGCCACTGGGTCAGAACCCAATGTTCATGGACTCTGACCCAGTGGCTCAATGGTAACGCGTTGGTCGCGGGACCTGAAGGTCGCGGGTTCGATCCCTGCTGGTGGGGTCGTGGGTGCGCACTGCTGAGGAGTCCCATACTAGGACGAAACGGCTGTCCAGTGCTCCCAGGTTTCCTTTGTTCCTCCAACTAATGTCAGTCTTCGATGAATAACAACTTGAAATATTTCCAAATCTCCACAACTCCCTCAAAATTTAACATCCTATTTCCTCCTATCCAAATTCTATTATTCCACCTTTATAAGTAAAACTAAACAGATTATCTTGGCTAGAACTGATGGTGGGCATTTTTCAACTATAATAAGTACACAGTATTTCAACGTGTTACTCCCTCACTATCGAAAAAGGATAGCTCTTGAGAATTCAGTACTAAAATAGCTCAAAAGCAAAGATTTTCTCCGGTTGTGTAAACTCCCTAATGTTTAAGCAGCATATTCACAATGGGCCATAATTGATTGCATATAGCAGTCAAACTTGAAAATATTTCATTGTCAAATCTTCATTTAGATATCCCTGAAGTTCTATATGCCACCTTAGCATGATGTGAGTTTCCTAAGCGAACTACGTTATATTCAAGTCTTGGAAACGTTTGTTTCACTTCGTAAGTTTCTGTTAACCAGCATTTAAAAGTGATATATAGTATTTTATAGCCCAGTACATATCATTTTACCTGTAAGAGGGATTCAAAAAGCACATCCTCACGTATTTGAGGTTTTCCTGCTTGGCGACTTGATATTCTTGTGTTGTTTTATCCCGTGGAACTGGAACTTGACATCCTATGCCTCAAACACCACAACGTTATTAACTGGGTCAGTGTGTTGTGATAGTCATTGGCTGTTCTCTAAATAAAAGCTACTGCTAAGTTTGATGGTAACAATACATAATAACTAGCAGATGAAAACGGGACGCAGCTCCTCTTTCACTTGAGATCGGTCAGCTGGATGTACCTGTCTCCCACTGAGTGATGTCCCTACTAGGACTTAAATCAAGGACCGACTGCTTTAATCGTTTTGGTGTTACCCACTAGACCATTGAGTTTCGATAGCCCGTACTCGCGAGATAAGTATGGTTTTTCTGTCATCGCTTGTAATTTTCGGTTGCTCTTATGAGATCTAAAAGTGCATTCCACAGAAGTTTTTATTTTATGAAGTATCAAAAATGCCCTAGTAGTCGGAGACTTTTAATCAAAACTTTTCCAGAAGTGGTGGTCACTTAGCTGAAGTCCTTAAGATTTCATTATTATTTATTGTTATTATTTGTTTCTTGAGTTCCTTGTGGAACACAGGGTTTCACTAGCACGTATCAATTCCATTCCCCTCTCTGCAGTCTTGCCAACCTCGCTACACCACTGCACACAAGCTTTCACTTCTTCCTCACATCATCTCCTACATGTCGTCACCCTCACACACCCGACTCCTCGTTTCCCAACTGGGTTCCACTGCACTCCACTCCACTCCACGACCTGACCTCACCTGGCCTGTCCTGATGCGTGATGTTCACAATCCATCTTCTCACTCTATCCACAATCAAATCCATCTACACTTTATTCCACACATTTGTTGGGTGATGGCTTCTTGCTTCGTTGGTTCGTCGCCAGACCACAGTGTCTTCCTTGTTGCTCATTCTCATTTCTACTCTGGCCATCTATCTATCTATCTATCTGATCTTCAGTGTGAGTATCGATTGAGCGTGGGCGTGGGCGTGGGTGTAGGCGGTAGCTGTTCATGTGATGTATGTCTGCAGTTTGCTGGAAATGCTTTTCGCAACTCGCCAAGTTTCTGAACCATATAGAAGCTCTGACTTGACATTAGATGTTAGTAATCGCTAAATAGAGGTCCTGTATTACACATTTCTCAAACAGACTAAAATGCCTCGAGTGTACTACCTAGAGATAAGTCTTAAAGTTGTGGAAATCTTGTTAGTTTTCATTCATTCCCTTTCTCTTGCTTTCTTGTTATCTACTTAGATGTCTTTCCACTCCTGCCATTTCAGAATATGGACAAATCTACTTCTGTGAATGCTTCTACACTATTGCATCCATTTTTTGGCCTTAAGTGAGAAAACTTGTATAACTACTGACAAAGTGGGTTTCAAGAAGCGTCTCAACAATTTTTTATCATGAACAGAAGAAAAGTAGAAGTGTTTCAGCGGCTCAAACTAATGAGATTGTTTCCATGTTTTTTATTTGATAATCTCGCTAATTTCAGACGTTTAGCTTCATACTATCTTCTTGCATTTTACTGCAAAGATCACAAATTTCTTTTCGTCATTAAGAAGTTATAAGGATGTACGAGTAAAGCAGAAGGTTTCCTGAAATTCAGTCACCTTTAGCAAATAATACAAGTAGAGAAAAATGAATATTTTTAACGATGACAAATTATTTTCTAATCACAAGTCTTGTATATTTTAATGTTATCCAAACAATATATTCGTTCATGAAAACTTCCAAACTTCTCTTATATATTGATAATTCTAAGATATAAAATTGTTCACTATTGTGATTGGACTGAGTGAGCCTACCTTCAACTGATGACATTTCAAAGAAGCAGAAATAGACTTATGATTCCACTACCAAGCATGTCACTAAAAAACAGTTTGAATGTAGATATGGACTGAAAATTTATGGTTGTCTGCATTTCTTCTTTTTCTTACAAAATATTTAGATTTCATTTGAAAATTGCACAATATTTTACGAACCCCTTTTTAATAATAGTTGTAATTTCGTGTTGCTACACTGGGTTGAATATTACGATCTCTGTTGGCAGAAGGGCTCCCATGTACATCCAGCTGATATATCACAAACAGGACGAAACGCGCATTCTGGACTCTATTCCTAGTCATCAAATGGACTGCAATTTTACAGACCCTCTGGTTCAGTTGATAGTACTCAAAGTTAAGCATGTCCCTAGGATTCAAATGTTCTGTTAATCTCATTTTTAACATGTAGGTACATTATGCAAATCATTAGACAGTAATGAAGAGTGATTGAAACATATTACCGATGAATAAATGCATCGTGTAATTGCTTTTCTCTCCCTTATTTGACAAACAACTGTTTTAGAACTGGTGTTATACTCAGTAAAACAATTTCCCAACTGATACATTAACCTTGAAATCTTCATACATGAGAACCGTATTGTAACTTACATGCATATAAATATAAAATGTTGTTTAAATGGGCTAACCAGAATGGAGTTAAATTAAGTGGATTAAAATTCCTCAAATGTTCTTCGGTCATCAAACCCATAGAATTTAAACTACTGTCTGTTGCAAATGGTAATTTTGATGTTGCTGTTGTTGTTGATGATGATGATGACGACGACAGTGTCTCGACTACATCTTCACAAGTAGTCTGAGGATTGATTGAATGTTGACCAAACATGTTATGTGAATCAGTTGGATAAGTCGTTGATGTATTCATTTCACTGATAACAGCAGTAGTAGTAGAAGTTATGGAATCATCTGAACTGGACTGGAAGGTATTGATCAAAGGTTTATGCAAAATTTCATCCATATCATATTTGTTTGGAAGAGGCGATGTAGGCAAGGAGCATTGTGCTTTAACTGAAAAATCGTCTATTCTGTTTAACTGAATACTACTGTTTGGTGTAGATGTAGACTGATTATCCGAGGTGAATGTTAAGTTTGAGGCCAACAGAGTACTACATTTTCAACACACAGTAAGAAAAATACTTAGTTAAAGCCAGAAGAGTATTTTTTAAATTATGCCAAAACGTCTATGAAATATCTTTATTTTATTCAGTCAAAAGATATGAACACTTTTAAATAGTTAAAATGAAGTGTTTATTCTGTTTCAAATCAATCAGCTAAGTTGCAACGTGAAAACAAACAACTGTGATAAGAAATGTCTTCATTTTTATCAATAGCTTCTACTGGACAAATTAGCTTTATAAATTACAAAACATTTTTGTACAAGAAATGACTTCTTTACTGAAGACTTTCTAGGATTATGTTTCCCTGGAAATGCTCGAATATTTTAAAGCAGCAACGAAAGCGACTTTGCAAGAGACGAATACTTTTATGTATTTCTGAATCAAGCTTGTTTCAGAGGAAAATGAAATTCTGCTTATACTAAGCTATACTGCACACCGCAAATATCCTACAGACTACGAGGAATATCTTCACCGTAACCACATTCCTGTACAGACAACAAAATTGAAGATTAAATAAAGCCAATCAGTTCAGTTTATGTCTGTCTGAATTAGAGAAAAAGATGGTGCGAGGTCTGTCAAGTAATGGGCGACAAATATTTATGAAATGTTCAACTTCAGTTATTCGCTACAGGCGTAACAGAACTAATAACAAGCTGTTGAAGAATTTCAATTCGAATAACGTTCAGTATGTTTATATACTATGGCTGGAAAAATATCTTTTGGATTACTGTGGTATTATTCCATCATTATTTAAACTCCAGATCTTCGGCTAAACACCAAACCCTGATAAACTTGACATTAGAATTCATTCATCAGTTTTCTTTATCAGACTGATAATCCAACTATTTCATACCTAAAAAGCTTCTAATCAACCTTACTTGACTGCAGTGGGACTGCGGACTAGTGGTTTGAAGAGAGGACTACCAACTATTGGGTCGTGATTTCGAGCCCTGCTCAACCTACCAAAGTTTGGGCAGCCAGTTAATATTACCATCCTTCACACAATAAGTGTGACTCATTGTCTGCTGCATAAATTTGCACAAGGTAGCTGAGTGCGTTTCGTTGTTCGTTCGTACCTGACCGTCCTCATCGATTCTTCAAAGCATAAGTATGGCGATTTAGTCAACCAATCAATTAAGAACGACTAAAATGCAACAACAAAATCATAACAAAACCTCTAGATAAAGATTCTGCTGTAGTCTTGTTGGATGAGGTTTGTATTGAAGACACAACTAAATTTCTTTAAGATGAATTCAAGCTTCACAAACCAATGAAGTGAAGAGATAAAACACACAGAAGTATGACTATTAACGCTGAATTCAATAGAATATTCAGTTGTACCAAGGATAGCTGGTATTTAATGTTTTAAAATGATAACAGATATTCGTTAACGAACACCGAATAGTGTTAGCAACAAAGCGTATACTTTTGTAACGTAATCATTTTTTTCAAGGTTACATTGATTACAACTAACGGAAATGTATCCATACATTTTTTGGTAAAAAGTCCCCTGATGAAACTATCCATATCAACATGGTTTGAATTACTACTACCACTACTACTACTACTACTACTACTACTACTACTACTACTACTACTACTACTACTACTACTACTACTACTACTACTACTACTACTACTACTACTACTACTACTAACACTAATACTAACACTAATACTAACACTAATACTAACACTAATACTAACACTAATACTAACCTACTACACTCTCAGTTGCAAGTGAAAGGATGAATATTTTTGTTACTTTCCTTTAGACGAACATCCTCCTTAACAGTCCACTTCATTTTTGTCTTAGTTAAATTATATTTGAATAGAAATGTGTCAAATATCCTTCAAGGTGAAAGAAAACGTAATATGATATACTCATAACACGGTTAGTTACAAACTTAATGAAATTTGAGAAAAATCTCCGCTACCTAACCTAATATACGAAATGGAAATAGATCAACTCGACAAATACATGAACATTATATTACTTTCTGCTTGAAATACAAATTTTGCTCTGGGAAAAAAATGTAAAAACTATTTTCGGTAGACAACATGCTGTTTTTACTTCAGTGATTAAGGTCGTTGAATCAACTGTAGCGTGTTCTAGAAAAATCGTGAGAATTATTCTTTTGAACTATGATGTTAAACAATTGGAAGTAATTAACAGAATGCCTTGAATATGGAAATTCTACTTGTTGATAAATTAGTGGGAAGTTATATTTTTGACTTTGAAAGAACCTAAATATCTTTTTCATTACCATTTGGCTATCTGAGATAGTCGTAGTTTGGCAGAATTGTATTTATACAAGGTGATGATTTAAGTTGAAATAAGAATTTGGACAGCGGACGGATTCGAACCAGCGACCATTGGACTTTCGGACAGATGCTCTACCAACTAAGCTACTTTTTCCGACTGCTGAGCAGATTTTTATTTCACTACTACGGACGAAACCCTTGGTGACTGGAATGAAGTAAAAATCTTGTCAGCAGTCGGAACCCACAGCTCAATTTGTGGAGCATTGGGCCGGAAATCCGGTGGTCACTGGTTCGAACCCAGCCGCAGTCCGAATTTTCATTTCATCTCTAACCATCACCCAGTATATCTTTTTTTAGTGCTTTTAGTCTGAATTTTTTTGTCATGAAAGTAAATCTTATCTTCAACGTGTCTGGAAGTATTTTGCTGGAGGATAACACCACAGAAATTACTGAAAATTAGAAGACAACATCACTCACCACTTCACGACCAACTAATATGTTCTGAAGCGATGTAGAAAGAAAATTACTAAAGCTTGAAACCAATTCATGAGAAAGAAATTACTCGATTAAGGGAAACACCAAGCAGACATACTTTAAAAGCAATATGTTTTAAGACCACACGTGAAGACTTAGCTCACTGACTTAGGCATTCACTTTTTCATCAGTGACTGAAGAGTTCAAACCCTAAGTAGTACACTGTTTAGACACATGACACGTGTCACTTGTACCCTCTCTTTCAAAAACGACTGTCCAGTATCCTTTCTTTGCTCTGAAAAAGTTAGGTGACAGTAGACTTATTAAATTCTTTTTGTATGAAAATAACGATACGATCAGCTTAGGAAACATAATCTAAGATGGTTCAGATGAAAAAAGCTACAAAACTAAATTTTCGTAAGTAACAGACAATTATATGAATTGTTGGTCTTTCTGACGTAATAGGTGCATGTTTATTAACAATTTGGTGATTACGGACCAAGGCAAATGTGATTTCTATTTGTATTTTGGCCACATCTATGCGATGAACGCTCGTCTTAGTCGCTCATTCCCTACGCAATCCACAACTTAGGAGTTAACACAAACCTTCAGATGTTTCACTTTCATGTTGAAGTATCACTCTGTTTTTTTAAACTGTCGCTAGACAATGCGGTCCCTTTATAAAATCCTTACATTCAACTTCAACTAAGAATATTTTGGGTCAAGGGAGCAAACAAACATTTATGGTGTACTTCGAGAGGTCAATTATTTACTCTCATGAAACATCAGAAATTAAGTAAAGGAATTGTTCAGCACCTCGTGATATGCAGTGCTTATTCAGCCGATAATGACTTGAAGTGAAAATTCACTTTCGGTTAAGATTTCAGATACTAAAACCACAAATAGCAGAGGTTTTTGAACATTAGAGAAAACAAAAATGTATTTCATTCTTTTGAGTTCAACACTTCATTGTGTATAGATTGAATAAGGCGGCAACAATACATTTGAATCTAGACTGGTAGAAATAAATATCAGTTTTAAGTAATCAGTAATCATCGTCATCATGACCGGTAAAATGTAATCTGTGTAACAACAGAATGATTATTCAGTGATATCAGAAAACTCCAATGTACTCTAAGATGGCTAAGATTGATTTGACAGTTATTTCATATTTCTATGCTGATAATTATTATAGGTTTTTTATGGGCTAAGATCAAACTTTATATCAGAACTAGCAACAACAAGGAACTATCCAGTTTTAAATATATACAGATATGTATATACGTTTTATTACATTTAATTATGAGCAAAAATTCAAGCAGTATGCATTACAAAAGGTGACTTCATACAGATAGAGGTCACATAAGATAGTATTAATCGTGAACTGACATCAGAAGGACAAGTAGTAGAAACCTGGGATCACTAAGTAGCTGTTTTATCCTAGGACTGAACTCCTCATTAGTACTCACCTATGATCCTGCCAGGGATTAAACTCAAGATCTTCAGGTCACAGTGACGGAGTTAACCATCCATTCACTTGGTCAGAGTTCAGAAGCCCACGGTTTTCTACCTCTGGCACAATTCGTGATGTAGCAAGTAAGTATTCACACTAAGATCAAACCTGCCAACTACGCAAGCACCGATATGTTCCTTCTTCATTGTAAGGGTTATCACAGGTAGTAGGCTGTTGTCATTGAACAGTTCCATTATTTAAATGGATCATCTATCTGGTGAACCAGTTTCAACTTACAGTTATGCCACTACTCAAAATTTAAAAAATGAGTCCTATGATGTATGAGTAGTCAGTATTATCCATACCAAAAACAAAAATAACTGACCATAATATTTTATAGTTAACAACTCACTTGTTGGGAGAGTGTAAGCTTTTTGCTTGTGAATTAAAGCAGAATGAGTTGTAATTCAAACACTACCATCAATATTATCACTATTACTGTTGTTGGTTAAAATGGTATGGAATAACATTGTCTTAAAACTCAATAATAAAGATGAGGTGAAGTTCGAAATTTTCCTTTGATTACATAACTCATATATAGGTGTATAAACCTTTATATATATATACATCTTCAAACAGTTCAAGTTACTATGGTTCCACTATCCACTCACTGCTTTGTTGATGTTGATCATCAATATGCAAATACTTCCTTTTTGTTGCCCCTTAAAAATGTAGGATGTGACTAGCACATACATAATGCACACACACACACACACAACTGTATTATGTTATGCCTTGATTGTATCTAATTATCCGGGTTGTAATTCACATTCATCCCATCATCATTTTTCATGATTACACCGTACAAGGAAAATCGAGTTGGATAAACATTCGACTGTATCAAACAAGTGTAAGAGTAAATTGTCACATATGATATTATAAGCATAATATGCACACAAACACACAAACATTAGTATACACTTTATTTGCACTTTCCGTCACATAACATTCAATAGATTTGATTAGCCGATCTCTCCCCTAACTCATCCGTTCTGTAATTCTCTTAATATTTGCATCCTACGTCCATACCAAACATCATCAATTTTCTATCTATAAAAGACTGTTGAATATTTAATCAGTGTTTATTTGTGTGTAGACTACTTCAGCACAAATAATTGTAACCCATTTGAGTTGAAGATTAGAAAAATAGGAGAATGAGATAGGCAAAACAATAAGTGATAAGTTCACTGTATTTGCAGTGAATTGTAGAACTGAAAAGATTTGCATGAAAACAAACTGGTAGGTTTTTCTGTTTTCAGGGTGAGTGGAGTATAGTGCAAAATACTAACTTGGTATACTTTCAAATACGACATTATTCATCAGTCTCATCACATTATGAGGTTAGTCTTTTGTAAAAAGAAATGAATGAATTTCGATGATTAATGGTTTATTTGAGCTTTGTGTTTACTCTGAATAACTTAGTTTGAAAGTGAATAAAACAAAACATTCCTATTATCAAGCTTCCGAATTCATTAAGGGATGGTGTGGTGAGAACAATTGACTGTGATATTTGATCCAAAGCCTTCATATATGGTAACACTCATGCGATATATTTGAATAGACGGTTTGGACGATTGCTCTGGTCTTGAACTTGGTGTGGTTTTCCTATTGGGTCCTATGATTAACGCACTGAGGGAAATGCCCAACGCTGGTCCTAACTATTATTATTCGTCGAGTCACTATTTACAAGTTGATCCTACACCCACTAATGTCCCATCAGACGATACGGAAAGGAGATGAAGTTATACTTTTAGCCCACAAAGGGAGAATTATTTGTGTTTGGCAAAATATGTGGGATGGGTAAAAGGTAGCGACTTTAAAGGCCACCCTATCAAAAACAACCAATTAGATTTCTTTGTTTTGGCTACCAAAGTGAATTCACGTGAAGTAGAGAAGCCTAACTGGTTACTCTAATTATTGCTAAAGTGACCTTCAGATTCACCCGTTAAAAGACTTAGATTGTCGGCGGCTTATTCAAAATGTCAAAGAACGAGAACTAAGATAGATATATGGAAGAGATCTATAACTGTTTGGTTGTACTCACTTTCTAGGATGGTTGCAAAATTCCTCCACCTTTCTGAGTTGCTTATTGTTGCGGCATATTATGCAGAACGTTGATTGATATGTATTTTGCTGAACGGCTTTGTCAACTCCGTATATCGAGTTGCAGGCATATTTACTTGTGGCTGACTAGATGGTAATGAAAACACGTCAAACATGATTTCGATCAGAAGTTGACTTATTTGCTACTATTTTTTCAGTTTGTCTGAATTTACGACGTAGGTGATTAATATGTCTGCCTGGAGCATAGTTTCCCATGTCAACTTGATACACTAGGCTGATTTCAGCCTTCTTTATTTCCCTGACATTTCAAGATGACTTAACATCATTTGAAAGATTTGGCGTAAATAAAGCAGTATCTTCAATGTATGGAGATACCTGAGTATTCAAAGGTCATTGCAATGGAAATTCATCGATGTGTTACGAAAGAAATTCTATCAAAATTACAGAAACATGGGCAATAATGAACGTCATCAGTTAGAAGTTAACCCAAGAGTTGTTCAAGTGACAGCACTTCAGATTGTGTAATACTGGTACAAATCTTGCAAAGAATACAAATTCATCTTGAGTAGCAGATAAGCCATACTAATAAATATAGGCAAGCAGAAAAATTAACCACCATGAATATTCATAAATTGCCTTTAACTGCCTTACATCAATAGGTGAAACAAAGACACTGAAATAAAGAGGAAGGCTTTCCTTTTTTTTTACATATATTTGTTAACCACACAAGAAGTTAATAATCAAATACTTTCAGCTGTTACAAACATTTATTTATGGATCCATCAACAACGTTAAAGTTGAATGATTAATATATTATGTAGGACAATAAATCCAACAAGTATACAATAAATGGGAATTCTCAAAGTGGAACTTGTGTAAGATGTGTTAAATGTATTGACTGATCAATGAAGACTAAGAAATTTCATGTTGTCTAGTCTTCAGTGATGACTGAATTATACCGATCATTTTGCAATGTGGTCACTAGGCTAGACGGCTTACTATAGTAGTGCAAATAGCCCATAAACATAAAACATAGAATAAAATACACTGTGGATTATATTTTTCCATTATATTTTTAATATATGATAACTCTTATTACCTATGAATTTTATCCACGTTTTCACCGCTAAGATAGATTATTTCTCGTTCAACTATCTGTTTCTAGATTCCATAACATTAAACAAGAGCATTGAACTAACGACTTTCTGTCAGCTACTGCATATCTATTTATTTTAAACGATCCTGCTTCCATATACCTGTAGATAATTTGGACAAACTTAACCACTAGAGTAGGTAAGTAAGCAAACTATGATATGTGATGCGACGGTGAAAATTTAACATCATAATTTGAAAAATTAACATCCACAAAAATCGTTGACAAACAGACAAACTTTCTGTTATTGTTTTATACATTTCATTTACTTCTGAATAAAATATAAGCATCTTTAGTTGTCTCAGTATTTATAAAGTTAGTGTTAAGGAAGTCAGTAAGCCTATTGCTAAAACACCGGTGACAAAATAGCGAAGCTTAGGAAACATCAAGCCATTGTCATCATTAATCTAAGTTGTAAATCTCCTACATAATTTCAGTATTGGGATTAGTTGTTTTTATATTTCCTTAACTAATAAACAACCAATCTCATCTTATTCACCGTACAATCACAATATTATCAGTATTCTCACCTAATCTGTTAGAAGCTACCAACATTAGAAAATTAGAAGTATGGAATGGTTACCATCCAACTTTATTGACAATTATCTTTATTTAAAACTGATGTTTCTTTGCAAAACTCTTTGTGGGATGAAGAATACCTAACTGATATGAATTGGAAAGATAATAGTAAGAGTCCTCTTTTCTGGATAAATATTATTTTAACTCAGATTTGTTTCTCTTGCTGAAGCTGAGTGCTTAAGTAATCAGTGGTCAAAGGAAAGTTTACCTTTCGAATTAACAACCTTAGATCGATACCAAATCATAACATGAACAACTCAAAACCTTAAGCTATAGAACAATAGTTGATATATATTCTTTAAATTTTGAATTTTATATCTTGAAGGATGCAACAACTTCAATAAAATTTGATGTCGGATAAAAATAACCATGAATGAGATAGAAGGACTGTTCCTATTTACTGTTAATCCTATTAATCAATTTTTCAGACAATTCTCTGGAAGAAGTACCTTACAGCTCACTTAAAAATAAAATCTTCAATGGAATAGGTGCTTAGGAAACAACATTTAAAGAATCATAGAAATGACTCCGATTTAGCACTACAGTTACTAATACAATGAGTAGGATAAATGATAATGACAACTATTTCCACTAACGGTGAGACAAAATCGATAAAACAGAAAGTAAAGTACTAGACTTTCTTTTTAATTTCCCGTTGCTATACAGGGCAGAATCGCTTGACCTCTGTTGGCAGATGGGTTCTTATGAGGATTTCTCGATACTGCTGGATATTCATGGTATTATTTTGATCTTGATGACTAGTAGTGGAATCTAGGATACCTTTTTGTTCTTTTCGGGACTAACTTGTCAGCTGAATGTAGCTGCACCTTCGTAAATGATGTTGTTCCCACTGAGACTGTAACCTAGTTACTTATCGCTTCAGACGCCAAAACATTGTCTACTAAGCCACTGGAGTACGACTTTTATAACAAGTGTAAGTTGATGGCTACTCCTTTCCTTTTCCAAAAAACAACTAACACCATTTCTTTATTCAATGTTAAAACATTTCATCGATGCTTTCCGGTTGTATTTACTCACCTGAATGTAACAAAAATGAGGATTTGGCAAAATATCATTGTGCTCATTAACGATGCTAAAATTTTCCTTCTAAAGACTTCTTCTATACTCTACACTGTTTTAATCAGCATCATTCTTATCTCTTCTATTGTAGCAATGGTGTAAATTAGTTGTTTCAGAACCAGTGAATGGATTATATGCTAAGATGCACTGTGGTTTTGAAAACTCCAACATTCTATTTGTCCTCATTCGATGTGCATTTTCACATCTTATAAGATGAACCTATACTTCCCAAGAAACTTACATTTGACCACTGGTTCATAAACTACTGTATGAAGAATCCGGTACTATTAGCTGATATTAACATATTTTATTGTTTCCAAAGAAGTTTTAATCATAGACTGTAAACCTGAGAGCAGTGAACATTTGTTTGATCCTAGTGCAGGACTCCTCAGTAGTGAGCGACCCTATGAGAGGCCAATCCTAGGATCGTTAGGTTTTATGAAGATCATATTACCGTTCATTTAATGAGTTGGAATTAAATGATCAACTGCTTCCTACTTCTATCAATTCATGACCATTACTGCATGTCATCCGTTGGAATTTCTCGTTACATCCTAATATAGTGCTTTGTTGGGTCCCAATCTAGAACGATACAGATATCCATCACTCCCAGGCTTTCAATACTAAGCCACCCCCAACCTCAACATGCCATACTAGGAGAAGTTGAAGTACGTTGAAAAAGGTTCAGGCTAGTCGCATCAAGACGTGGTACCAGTCAACGAAGTCGCTGACCGTTGGTTCGAGCCATATGGGATCATCGAGATGATAGGAATCAGTGGCTGAGAACTCTTGGTGACATGCCTGAAAATCGGTCACAGTGGCTCAGATGTATTCACTCCCTGACATATAGACACTCACGCTAGTTTGTATCTTCAGACTGTTTATTATCTTGCACCATTTTATTTACTTTTATATCACTCCTTTTCTAACCACCTCTTCTTTGTGTACTTCTTTGAAGTGTGGTAACTCTAATTGATGCATCTGTGTTTGAAGTTCTACTTTGATTTTGTGAATCGAAAGACTACTTTTGTACTCTTTACTGTTTTTGTTAACATCGTTCTTATCTCTTCTATTGCAACAGTGATGTAAAATAGCAGTAGTTCACTACTAGTGAATGTATTTTATGCTAAAACAAACTGTAGTTTTGAAATCTGCTAAGTTTTGCTGAAACCAGTAATGCAACCCAACAGTCTACGAGCAATATGAACCTATCGGTAATCAGAATGTCAACCACCACAACAACAATACCACTAGGAAGCAAAGACTAGAAGGACTGTTGGTAGACAGCTTTTACTGTATCAATAACAGTTAGAAACAGCTGAGAGCGATGCTGAATATATACATCCTAAATGACCTTGACAAACCCTAAATTCACTGATAAGTTAAAAGAGTTAACAATCAATGAGTTCAACCTTCAGAAGCAGTGGGAAAAACAAAAGCTAGCAGCAGCATCAAGAGGGCACGAAAACAGCAATAACGAATTTATTTTAAGTTGATGGGCAGATATCAAGCAAAGTTAAGGGTATGTAGCAGTTGACTTGTCTTTATTCGATTTGTAGTTTACAAATCTTATCAAATGTATCTATACTTCGTAAAAAACTTAAATATGCCTCCCAGCAGTAATCTTCTTCCTATAGTCAGATAATTGAAAGTAGTTTGTTGAAAACCTGCACTTCGGTTTCGAGCTTACGAATACTCACTCCTCAACAAAATAGGTGAGTTTAGTGACCTCAAAAAATGCAGGCTATATTGATTAAACTGTATTCTTTTTTAGATACCCCAAACAACAACGTAAACATCTAGTAACATCTTTGTGATTAACTACTATTTACGGTATCGTTAAACCGGGTAAGAAAGTTATATCAGTCTCCTCATAAAACTAAGATCATACACTGCTTCATAGAACCCTCAAATTCACCATATTGAATTCAACTGAGCTCTTAGAAAAAACCATTTGACCATAAATATGTTGCCACAATTAATGTTTGGTAGTCTACTAAGGCAAGTGCGAAATTTCATTTTATTTTCGCTGGATTCGTCTTATTTTTTGAGAGCGTCAGATTCAGCCTGTTACGTAATCCAAAATGATAACTGAAATTTGAGCAATACTTTAAACTCGAAAAGCGATACACATTATATTCTAGTCTAGTTATGTTCTCACCCTATCAAACACTATTGGAATAAACTCCACATTTCTTATATAGAAGTTACGCTCTTGGTCAGCGAAAACTGCATAGATGTTTGATCCCACTAAATATATTCAAGGACTTTAAAATACAGAGGACGATTGCAGAGATCTTTTCCCTTAGATGAACATTTGTGACTGCTTTACGGTAAGCCTGGAAAACACGACCCTATCTAAAATGATCGATGAGCTTCATATCTACAAAAGATACATAGGTGATAACTTTATTTTTTGTGACAAGAATAGGAATTTCGAAAACCGGCTTCAAACCTTGAATAGTGCTCATTCCTTTAACAGATTCCCTCGAAATTCCACTTCCTAGACCTCCTACTTCAAAGAAAAGATGACAATGCACTTAAGATATCTATTTACAAAAAGTTCACTTGCAGCGGACAGCTTATTAATTTTCAAAGATGTATGCCCTCAAGCAGAAAGAATATGAAGAACATCAAAGGATAATACTATTAAAGACGAACTAGAAAACTTGCGAAACATTCTGAAATCTATAGATATGAATCTAACGTCGACAAACGTCGCGGAACGCCTACGTACTTCTCCGAAAAAGATTTTACTGTAGAACCTCAAATTCAAGGGACATAATGCGGCAGGTATGTTTAGAAACAGACTTGGAAGGTCAATAGACGGAATATTCTCTCCTACCAATCTTAGAATCCAGTTCTCCTGTCAGAAACTCATTCGTCAGTACGTGAAGGATAAGCTGGGAGATTAGGTCATATCAGTGTATGTATATGAGTTTACTTGATCCTGTGGAGCCGAGTACATCGGCCGTACCATGAAATAGCTTATGCAACGCGCTTACGAACATTATCCAACTTGGTTAACAAGGGGAGAGTGGAAATGTATCCTCAGCTCTGCAACAGAACACTTAGTAAACTCAGGATAATAGGCCCCTTTTGATAAAGACTGACTGAGCGAAGAAATATATTCCTTTTCAATTAGGTCCCCATCTTGGACTCTACACTAACATATAGTTTTATAATTTAATCAAATTACCAATCACATGGTGATGTTTTAGAAATAATCAGTAGAGTTACTAAAATTGGAAATATGAAGCAAGTTATTCTTAGGTAAATGGAGTGATTTTTGATGAGTGTTCAGTCATTCACAATTAACGATTAGGTAGTAATAAGAAAACAAATGAATATTGATAGAAACAAGAAGGGGAAGAGGTGCACAGAGTAATCCTAGAAGTTACATCATGTTGACGGCCGAACAAACTTCTTTTGAACACAAAGGTTAGGTTTGTGGTGGATTGCAATCGCCTCTGTTATGTGAACGAAGTAAGTGCGTAATCCATGTGGTAAATTAATTAGAATCTGATGAATAATTTTGAAAGCTTTTCTAGTATCCACTTGATGCCCCTTATCAACTAGGCGTGCAAGTATGGAGCTATTCATTGTTCTAATTTGTCCCTTGCTCAACCATGACGGGTGGTGCTCCGAAATTCGATGATGGAACTGCCTCATTGTACGCCCAACGTAGCCAGCTCCACAGGAGCAGTTGGATTGATAAATGCACATAAAAGTGGTAGAATCAGAAAGTTCCTCTTTATTTCTTGCAGCTAGAATCGCGCGGTTATAGAAGATGGGACATAATTTAGTGGCTGGGAAGGTCTTATGCAAGACTCTTTTTATGTGCTGTGTGATGATCTCATTGGCAATGTCTTTCTTGAACTCCAGCTTCAAGAAGATTTGCTTCTTAGGAACTTTTGGCGTCCTTGCCTTAACCTTCGTAATACTCATATGCTTAGTTACAAACTTGTCTGGATAACCATTCCCACTAAGCAGATCACGTATGGTGGCGCACTGTTCCTTTATATCATCATCTGAGCAAATAGCTGTGGCACGGTATGCTAGGGATTTCACCAGGTTCCTTTTGTATTGGAGGGGTACGGCACTAAAGAAGTGCGTGTATTGACCTGCTGATGTTGGTTTCCCACATAGACTGCGTTTCAGGGTCCCATCTAACCTTACAAACATAACATCAAGAAATGGGATACTGTTATTTTTCTCCTCTTCCATTGTAAAGTTGATTGCCTGATGAACACTACTGAACTTATTCAGAATAGTATTCTTATGAATCTCAATTTGAGAACTATAAAAATATCATCCATGTAACGACATTATAGCTCTAAACGGCTAATAGTTTCGTTCAGTGGATCATTCTCTAGTTTTGCCAGAAAAAAACTGCTAAGAGCGGGCGAAGAGGTGACTCCATAGCTACACTATCATTTTCCCTGCAAAGTTCATTGTTAAAAAAGAATTGAGCGTTCATAGTACACCTCAGAAGAAGTTCTTTCAATGTGGACACTGGAACACCTATTTTCATGCCGTGCTTCGTTGCAAATAAAGTCTACTGTCTCCATCAAAATTCTATACAAAAGTGCAACCAAGCCACCCGAAACGACTGAGGTCGGACATCTGGGCACAGTTGAAGAATAAGCGATTCAGAAATTCGAACTATCATTACGGGCTCAAAAGAAGTATGTACAACCCCTTTACATAACTTTCCTTTGTGACATGATTTATATTGACCCTTGACCGCAATTTACTCTAGAATGTCCCATTCTTTCTATTATGTGTTCACAAATGTATAGGTAAGATAATGAGTTCGTCAAAAAAAATAGTTTCTTTGCTGCAGTCGTCTTCTGTGTTCAAATGGGGCTGTGAAATGGTTTGTTTTCCTATCAACAAGTTCCCTCCTTAGTAAGACCAGTTTTTTCCTAAGACAGTTAATGCATAATACTCAATATATCAAGCATGTGATTAGCATTCAACTCTCTTCTATGCTAAACAACTCAGTAAATCTACTAAAATATACTATTCATGTTCCTGTGTTTCTCATAAGCTGTTTGCCAATCTATACTTCCTTGACCATAAAAAAAATATTTTAAACGAATAATATTTTATTACCTTCTTATCAACGAAAGGTAATTTCATAAAAGAAAGAAATAAAAAGCAAACCAACGAGTATATTGAAGAGAAAAAGCGTGGAAAATAAAATAAACACGAATTTGAACTAATCACTGACAAAATTCTTTAAAAAAAACATAACAGACAAAAAAAAGGCAAAATAAACATTCAAGAAATTCGTATAAATTTTATTATTACCTCCTTTGTTTTATTGAAAATGCGAAAATAAATGCAACTGAGCTGATTCCCTTCTATTAATTTTCAAAACATGACAATAAGTAATCTTATCAGTAGTAATTGAAGATAATTGGATTAAAGGTGAACAGTATAAAAGAGAAAATACTAAACATGCATCAGAGATATACTGTCAACTTCTCATCAAAGCGTATACACAAACAAGTCTGAATGGTGACAAGTAATTAGCTTAAACTATTTCTCTACAATTGAATAATATACACTTATTCACACGAATATCGGCTACAAGTAACACATCATACAAAGATAAACTCCATGAAAAATGGATTGATACAGAAAAATAAAACAGTTATTAAAGATAAATATTGACAATAGAAATAAATCCCTGTCAGTTAGTCATGAGGAAGAGGCGGAGAGGAAGAAAAAACCAACTCCGGAGAATACAAGTATTAAGAATGTGTATCTAAAAAATCTTCACCTTAATCCAATTCAAAGCAATATAGTCAGTGAAAATGCAGCAGAATTATTTACATCAAAAGAATTTATATACTCAATACAATCATCAACACTACTAGTATGTTTGCTTCAATTTGACAAAGTAAACTTGATGTACGCTGAAATGCAATGCAAAGTCTTTTTTTTAGAAATAAGAAGAAAAAAATGCTAAGAAGGGAAGAAAACAAAGTGGGGAAAGTAACATCCACAGCCAAAATTTGTGTTGTTCCATTTCATAATGTCTTTATATTGTATCCAACTATCTTTGGATAGATTTCAATGTGTAGACAAAGATGATGTGAATAAGAAGTTGTGGATGAGAAATGAAATGATCTCTGAGAGGAATATAAAAAACTGAGTGATTTACTCAAGTAGTCATAATTAACATCAAATAACTTTGTGCTGTTGTCATGATTATGACTAAATTAGACCATGTTACAAGCTCAGATAATTAACAATTACATACGGAATGACTTAACAGTATTCAACATAACGATTTCTCTTCAAGATATTCTTTCATGAATACAAATATGAAGATGATGATATGAAGAATTGGAAGGATTGATGTCAGCACTTCTGAATTGAAAATTTTACTTTATTTGGATCATTTTGTTCCATTATATATTGTTGTGAATCAGTGCTTAATAGAAGTTCTTCACCAATACAATCATCACCCAAATTCGTAGCATTATTTATACTACTATCTATAGTATGGCAAACAACATATGCATGTCTTTTCGTAGAATAACTCTTTAAATCTTGTATTTGAAATCTATGAAAATTCGGTTCAGACAACGTGGCAGATTGTTTAAAAATATCTGAGTACCAGTTATCATCTTCATGTGTTGTCCTACCAAGTGGAACATCAAATAATGAACAGGTATCATAGTTAGCGTCAGTTACTAGTTTAGGATTATTCTGTGTACTCGTAGTGAAATGTTTACCATGAAAAGACGGTATACAGTTTCGTAGACGTTCAATAGCACTCCATCTTCTAAAACGATGTGGTGTATCGCGAGAATTCGATGCAGCCATTTGTTCTATAAGTTGTGATTCATTTTCATGTTCAATATCTACCCGATTAGCAAACTATTTATAAAGATAAAAAGAATGTCAGTCGAATGAATTTTTATACTACTAGTGAGTAACTAAACATTTTTTGTGACAAAATCATAGCCTCAAGGTAGTAGAAAATCATATACCCGTGACACAAAAACAGCAAGTGGTTGATCTCATCAAATGTAAACTCAACAGGAAAGCCTGTGAAATAATGAAAATAAACACCTCAAAAAACCCAGAAAAAGACGACCTACACCTCCCTGAATCGCCCATACTATTAGTCAGAGACTTCATGGATTGGTTCCACGTCTTTATCTGGTTTCTCTTAGTTTTCTGTAAATCCATTCCTAACATCACACACCGAGGTAAGCAGTGGCTTGGCATGCGTAACTTTTGTCCAAGCTACCTCGGTCAATGAAAGTTCGTGGCCTTATCGACTGATTTGCCTAGTATACCTCACCTAACCTCCATATATGAGCAACGATGAGAAGACACCTCTGGTCAAATAATTGTAGTCTCTTCATATCTTGTAATTTCAGGGGCAATGTCTCATAGTTCTCTAATAATGTAACCCGGTATAACGGACTGAAATGGGATATATTCATTTTTAAACAAACAATCAAATATCTCGGCGGTTGGCAAACTAAAAACCAGCCGTTCAAGTCTGAGCTCAGATTTCATCCACAACCAACCCAAATTGGAAAACATAACTCCCATATCAAGTGAAGTTGTCGACACATTAAACCACTTAACTCATCACCAAACTAGGAGTAGTTGCAGACCACTCTCGAAGCATTACCTTACATGTTACAGGTGGGAAACACATACCAAGCATACTAAGATTTCAGGTCAACGCGTTCGAAAGATTCTACATTTTATCAGTGTCTTCGCCCAACATGACAATATCATCAACGTACTTCAAGATAGTTAAGATGACAATTATATATAAGCCTTTACACCACTGTGTGAGAACCAATAGGGGACTTTGATAAGCACTATGTACTTGCTCGCTACTCCCCTCACAGTCAGACACTGCTATAACACCTCATGATCGACTGAGTCAAATGCCACCACCTTCAGGTCAAGAAATACACCAAGTGCCAGTCACTGGTATGCTTGCGCTCCAGAATTTGTTCAGCCGTGAAAATTTTCTCGACGTAACCCCGTCCACGTTCTGCTTTCTGTAGGGAAGTTGAAAGATCCTCATAAAATTTACCCTTCACATCATTGGAACTGCATTCGATGGGTGCGTAGACGGAGATTACGAATAGACATCGGTTGGTTTCACGATCATTTCTGGTTCTTACAGATCCATTCAGTTGAACAGCATGCAGACGGTTGTTGACTGGTACTTTCTGCTTTACAGCTTAGTGCTATTCCTACACTAGTGAGTCTATGGGAGCTAGCCACTGAGTCCCTTGATACTAGTATGGTGAATGTTTAAGACTGACAACACTGACCAAGTGGATCATGATGCTTGGGTCCTATGTGTATGCATGCATCCACGACTCAGGATTGCTGGATTTTGGTAACAAATATCTATTGTATGATTCAGCATAGGGTTCGAACGTTGAAAGCTCCAATGTGAAGTCTGTAGTATCAACTTAGTAGACTTGGAATGATGTTTTACTGGTTTGGATCTTTAGCGATCTCTAGGCATACTAAAAATACTACTAGTAACCAATAAATACATTCAATTTTATATCCACTTTCTCATATAAATTTCAAGAAGTTACTGTTGATGATATTACTTGATTTGATAATAATAAAATATCTACCAATAAAAATCGAATCTCAATGAATAGCCAAAACACGTCATAGATAAAACTATCATATATTTCAGTAACTATACCTGTTTATAAGGTGTCAACCATTCAACTGGAAGTGAACGTTGAATAAAAGGAAGTTTAGATCCTAGTGTAGCTAACCGATTAATCCATTTAGGCAAAGAATGACCACAAAGTATCTGAAGAAGGTGAAGAAGGACAAAAAGTATAACTAAAAGTCCTCTTGTTATATTGAAATCAATACATATAAGCAAACAGTTAACACAATGTATAAAGAAACTTGGACAAATTTAATTCTAAGAAAGTTCTTTTATTTAAATACCAGAGATCAGTTGAAAATTCCTATCAGACCATCCAATAAAACAAATAACAACAATCAAAAAGTATCATTTATTCCTGATTCAAAACGTATCACGAGTCTCTATAAGCATAAAAATAAAAATCTAAGGTTGGTTGAACTGGTGAGCCACTTCATTAACATTTTAAATTCTTTTGAAGGTCTAATGAAACTAGAGAGAAATCAGTTGACCAATAAAAAAATGGATAGGAGTAACCGCACAGTTAGCTTTTTTTTACACTTTATCTTGATTGGATATGTTATTTCTTCGCATCCATTGAAATACTCCGTCGAAAACTGCTAAAACGCAAACGGATGATAATACAAAGCGATGAACACAATCATTTTATGAGCTATCAAAAGTTCATCAATTTAGGTCAATAAAAGCCGCCAACCGTAGACATTAACTGATTATTCAGTGTCTATTTTTATTCTTGATTAGACACTAGTTACTCCAATTTTTTCGATGGTATTATGGATTGATATTAGATATAGTTTATATTTGTGTATGTCACAGCGTGTTTAAAACAAAAATAATTCCAATGTTTCGCACGTAAGTCTGGTTCAAGATTCTTTAGGAAAATAATCAGAATTGAAATGACGAAGATTCGTGATATTTCAATTCTGATTATTTCCCTGAAGAAGCTGGAACGAGACTTCTATACGAAACGATGGGATTATTTCATATCAAACACGACGTGACATACACAAATATAAACTGTATCCGATGTCAACCATTTACCCAACGTCCAATATTTGTAATACTATTCGGTCAAATAATCATAGTTCATATCAAAAAAACATTAAGGATTGCTGGGAATTACCAAAACGAATATGTTCAAACTCTATCTATTTGACACTTAGACATAAAGCGTATATATATATATATATATATATATATATATATATATATATATATATATATATATATATACCAGACTTTCAAAATAACACAATCTGGTCTACCGTTTTGCCTTACCATAAACCTAACTTGAAGAATCAACGTTACTTAGACAGATAGGTCACAGAATGGGTAGATGACATAGTTGTTAGGTCCTGAGTACTAAAATAAGTCAAAAAGTTGCTTCTCATAAAGCCACAAAGCTTGATGATACACCAGTGACAAAAATGTACTTCAAAGCCTTTGATTTGAATTTCTTACTGATTGAAATTCATCGGTAAGTAATATCTGAAACCTTGACGGAACTCACGTTTTTAAAAACATTATTCACTCAGTGGTTTCTGCATCTACACCTCAAAATGTTTATGTGATCAATTACCTGGAGTTATGTTGATCTTGGTGACTAGCAGAGGAATCTTGGACATGCCTTTCATTCTATTTAGGACTTCTCAGCTGGGTGTACCTGCACCCCAGTGAGCGATGTTCCTACCCAGGCTCGAACTCAGTACCTTCCGCTCTAAACGCCAAACGCGTTGTCCAGTAAGCCACGATACCCACCTCTCGTGCAACAGATGCCAGTTGTTGTGACGATGCTTGTAATTTCCCGTCGCTATACAGGGCCGAATAGCTCGACCTCTGTTGGCAGATGGGCTCCTATGCAGATGCCTCGGTACTGATGGATATTCATCACCTTATATTGATCTCCGTAAATAGTAGAGTAATCCAGGAGTGCGTTCCGTCCTATTCGGATTCCTCTGTTAGTCACTAAGATCAATATAACATCATGAATATCCGGCAGTATCGAGGCATCTGCATAGGAGCCCATCTGCCAACAGAGGTGGAGCGACTCGGCTCTGTATAACAACGGGAAATTACAAGCATCATTACAATACCTGGAGTTATCTTGACTCAACATCATCATATATATATATATATATATATATATATATATATATATATTACTGATCCCCTGGATATTTAATCCTTGATTAACAGAAGGTGAAACTCGATGAAAAGAAGACAGAAGATAAAACCAACCTGAACAAATGCATCAGAGAAATGGTTACAATTTTTATGCAAAAGATGGTATTGATCCCCGCTATAATCTGGTGCCATACTGTCCAGTAATAAAGTAACATCTGATGCTGTAAAATCTGTATATCCCATGGTCAGAGTTAATCTAAGCGAAAGAAATCAGGTAAAAAAAAAATACATAGTCTCGATGGCAACATTATATCACGGTTAAAAAACAACGATAAAACCTACTGTTAATGCTTTACTGGTGAATTTCCTAGAAAGAAGAGTGAATAGTTAAGTATCAATACTGTATATGGTGAATTACAAGCATATATCCCTTGAGCTAAAAACTTAAGTACTTGATCTAAAAAACTTGCAACCAACACCGAAGAAATGATAATTACAAGTAGAGACAGAACTGTTGTGTTCATCTGTATCTGAGTGCGAATGAAAATAGTATGCCAAGTAGTACCCAAGTTTTCTCAATCAACACATCCAATTACTCATAATGATCACATTAGAATATTAAGTCCAACAACATGATTTGAAATGAAATCACAAATACAAAACAAAGAGCAAAATTATATATGATACTATGAAAATGTATTCACTAATTTATATCATTTGAAGAAAAGCCTTCCTATCCTTTTCTAACATAATCCTCATGTTATTTTATATGACAGGTAAACTAGGGAAAGTTCTCATATTGATTAATCACTAGAGAGCAACCAATTTTATATTGTCTAGTCCTGAGTGCTGATCGAATTTTACCGATCATTTTAGAATGTGATCATGAAGCCAGAAAGATTACCACAGTGGTGATGAGTATTAAATGGTTTAAGGTAAGTCGGCATGCTGTTCATGAAAAACTACTCAAAATATTCAAAATATTATTAGGAGAAAGAGAATCAGTAAAATATGTATTCCCTTAAATAACAACAGAGATTGAAATTGTTGTTCTACAGATTTTGTTCGAGAACAATCCTAACCTATAACTTCATCGAAACAAATTCTAGGTGAAATAAGCAATACACGAAAAAATATATCAAATGCATAAATGATATTGCAATAATTATGTGAATTCTATGCATATGAAGCATACAGTGAAATGTAATAGCGATTGTTGGACAAGGTTATAAGTTAAATCCATAGTGTGAGGCCTGAGGTATAACTGGGTCGCTCAAACTTTGACAGATAGTGCATGAAACGAAACTGAGATCCACAAAATGAAATTCAAGTAACTAATCTAATGAGACAGTCTTACAGAATACACATTTCAACAAACACAATTTTATTTTACAAAATAAAAAATATACACGAACTTGAAGGAATAATTTACACCTAGATAGGCACTATCCTTTGGCAGCATAGTAAATATCCCGGAGTTAGTCAATGGATGTCCTCCATATGAATATTCTATAAAGAAATAAAACAATATAGATATACAAACAAAATGACACTAACTAAACCATTGTAATCATAAAATATGTCAATTAGTAATCACACTAGAATAACACAGCATAATATGGATTAGTATACTAACATAATTCTTACATGACAAATGAAAATAGGTAAAGACCTTCAGTTATAATCTAATTTAAAGTGATGACCACTGAAATATCAGTTGAGTGTTCTGCCTAAGGTTGGAATCCACTCAGCTACCTTGTGTACATTCGTGAAATAGGTAATGAGCTACACCTAGATGTATGAAGCCTGATGACATTAGTTGGTCGTCCAAATCCCGGTAGGTAGAGAGGTGTTCAAACCCGTAGCCCTAAACCAATGAGCCACAACTCCATTGCCTGAGATATTCGACTCTCAAACTCATTAAGCTTCAATTCTGCCTGTATCAAACACAGATCATTCAATTTACCAGTAGACTTGATACTCAAGCATGTTTTGCAACCCTTGTCTACGAAGCGATAAAGTTTCCAACCGCATCTCGAGGGCCAGAATGATATATGTCAATCTAGGCCACCTTAAGCAACGTCGCGACGTTAGTCTGACCGTAAAAGGTTGGGTCTAAAATGCTTCGGTACGAGCAGTTCTACTTTACGACTGTGAAACCTGGCTGCTCCGAGCAGAAAAAGTGCGACGACTCTGTATGTTTGATCATCATTGTCTCCGAAGGATCGCTTTTATCCAATGCCAACACCTTGTAAGTTATTCTGAGGTACGACAGCATGTGTTTGGGCATGATGAAGATCGTCATGAAGTCATTTGGAAACACTGGCTCCGGTGGCTTCGACATGTGTTACACATGTCATCCCAACGGCTTCCATACTGTTCATTGTCTGCTAGCCCTGAGCCTAGGACTGGATGGAAGAAGCGAAGGGTGGTCAGTGCATGACGTGGTGCCATACGATGAAGGATAGTTTTATCGGACTAACATCTCTTGGTGCAACACAACTCCCTGGATGGGGTCCTAGAGATCACACAACTCAGTGGCTTGAGACATCATCAGATATGGCTCAGAATCAAAACCAATTGTGGTCATGCTGTAGCTTTCTTCTGTCTTCTGCTGTTGAAAGGTAATGAATGTTTTGTCTTGAATGTATTCTACTGGACTACCCCTCTTATCATGCTATTCTTATTGTTTTCCTTTTTTACTTATCGGCTTTCCATTGTTTATGTCTTCACATTGTTCTTATACTATTTTGTGTGGTGCATTTCTTCGTGCTCTTGCTGTACTTTGTTTGTATTCTAATAAATATCTACCAAGTGGTTTGGATAGAATTCTACATCGGTAGTTTAACAAATTAAGTGAAATTCTTTAGCAACGGAAACTTTTTACTTAAACCATTTTTTTTTAGAATAAAAGTGTTTTCACATGTCAATCCCATACCTATTTCCGCGTTTCGCTTAGTCCTTCATAAATAAACATGAGGCTCAATTACATCTCAGTTGTCGAAGCATTACAAAACTAGTCCTTACATGTCGCAATAGCAGTACATTAGTTTATTTGCTGCTTTCTTTCAAATGAATAATTCTTTGTTTTAAATTAACATTGATGGAAAAATTCATAATCTGTTCTACTAATGGACACTTAAACTTGAGTTAGAAATCACACCGCATTTTATTATACATGTTCTCCGAAACCTAATTTACAAGCTTCTATGCCCGTTGTTCTTCGGCACACGTATTTACAAAGATGAAGTTTCCTCTCACTCTCATCGGAGTGGCTGGTAACAATATATTCTCGTTCAATTCCAATCATTCAGTAATACATAAACATGCCTTGTCTTGATTGCTTAAGGATGCGTTTTCATCAGAATAATGCAATCCATAAATTCACTAGCATCACCAGGCGTTTTTATTATCAATAATCCTGTATATCGAAATATGAAACTGGTGAAACCACATATAATGTTACTGAATATGATTTCTGTCACTTGTGCAAACAACTAATAGGATACAAAGTCTTTTAGAGATAGAGTATGATATTTATGAAATCAACTTTCACTCAATAGGATATGCAATCATTTTCGAATTACTAGTTAAGGGTTCGAGCCCACAATGTTTATTTTCATAGGTGCCACTGATAACTGTTGTACTCATAGTCTCTGTGGTTACCTCGTTGTTCGAGTCACAATCCACAGATCTACATAAACCAAAAGGACTATAAATATGAGCCCAACCTAACCGCCGGTATCTAGCATGTTCCCATGTTAGTGGTTATTATTCCGTTGAAACAGTATGAGGGCAATCCTAGTTAGTCTCCTCATTTATTGCAATATTTTTAATCTAGAGTGCCTGGATTAAGGCTTGAATGGCAATATGCCAGATACCAGCAGTGCCCAATCTATCATTTCTAACCTAGATAACTCAGTAATATTACTAGTCTTCATACAATATGATACGGCTGGCTCTTTCACTTAATCCGATTTCTACATGTTACTGAGACTTATTACTAATATTATTGTTATTATTATTTATATCACCTCGTCAAAACAGAAGTTAATAAAAGCTGTCCACTAATTGTAAATTGCCCAGTCGATTTCCATTCCTCCTTTATTTCTTCTTCAAATAATGGAAACTGATTACAAGTTATCATTCATATCGCTAAAGTGTAAATAACCGAGTTCACGTGTATGTGAAGAGGAAAAGAACAAGTGAGCAATTCACGTTTATTAATTTTTTCTCACTTTTAAAGAAAGAAATAAGAAACAAAAACAAAATAGGCGAATTATCTAATTAATCAATCAATATTATACCTAAAAGCACTAGGTGTATGAGGTATTTTGCTCAAGATTTCATATTTTTAAACTTAAGGAATTGTTAACAAAGCAACCGAGATGTGTGCACAATTTAAACTAAAATATGTAGGTGATGGTTGTATCTAAAACATAGTATCTGGAAAACGGTGCTGTTGCCTTACAGTTCAATTATAAAATGCAGCTGCGAATCAGATCCAAGTCTTACCCTACACGTTAATTTTAATTTAATTGCCAATAAACAGGGCGGTATAAAACTAGGTATTGCATATTTAACAAATAATGGTTGCACACTAAGCAATGGCCCCACCGATAGTAGCTACCTTGATGTGGTGGTCGGGATTGGATGTCATAATGACCCAAAAATCTACACTGGCTGGAACGCTTTTTTCCTCGAGGTCCTACAATGCCAGAAAGGTCTGTTGGTAAAACACAAAGCAGTTAATGTTGTAGTGTGAACTGGAACACTATGACGGGGTCCGATGATGAAGTCGTACTGGTGGCTGGATGGGGTGATAGCAGTAAGGTGTTTCCAGTGGATGACCAATAGTGCCACGCTGATGCTGACTTCCCTATAGGAAGTGAGGTCAGAAAAGGTCAGGTCCAAAGGTAGCACACTCCTCCCTACCCCACGGTCTGCTGGTGCCGGCCGTATGGGTTTCCTCTATTCGGCGTTAGAACAAAGAAATCTCAAACCAACAATCCTCAAAAGGTTATGTGTGACAAGCCTCAAGCAAATGCCCTGAGGTCTGTGGTCATACAAATCTTTTTCTCTTCCAGGGACCTTAGGAAGAAATAACCTTCCAGTGTCGACAGCCGTGAAGTATACATCGCCCGCACGTTTCCAGTAGTATTCAAGACCTAATCAAACAAAATCTATCCTCCTCAACTTTATCTCTTTCCTTCACCTTCCGATATTAATATTAAATCTCTGACACCTTCCCCAACCTTTCACTGAGACCACTAACACTGATCAAAGCCGTCAAAACCTCATTTCTAGTCTCCTAAGACCACTCCATCGATTTCATATTGGGGCTCTCAACGTCCGAACCCTATGTGGAAACGGATAGCAGGCACTGATTGCCAGAACTGTCGAGTCTCGATCCATGGAAGTCTGCTGTGTCCTTGGGGCATATACAAGTCAACAGTTTGGTTGTTTAGGTGACCTCACTTGGCCACTGTAGTAAATAATGAAAATTCACACTACGAGTATCAAGAGACCCAGTGGCTAGCTCCCATGGACTCGCTGGTATAGGAATAGCATTGAGCTGTAAAGTAGAAAGTGCACTTACACTGGATACCAGTCAACAGTTGTCTGCATGCTATTCGACTGAATGGATCTTTAGGAAACAAAAAAATCATGAGGCCAACCAATGTCTATTCGTAATCTCCGTCTACGCACCCACCGAATGCAGTTCGGATGGTGAGAAAGGTGAATTTTATGAGGATCTGTCAACTGTCCTACAAAAAGCAGAACGCTCAGATGTAGTCATAATGGCAGGTGACTTTAACGCTCAAGTAGGAAAGATGAGCCAAACGGAAAAGCATCTGTGTGGCGAAAGCCTACGCCAAAAAAAAACAGACAACGCTGATTATCCGTTCCAATTTTCTTCCCACAATAACTTGTTTCTGTCCAGCACTAAATTTAAGTAAAAACAGAGACAGTGTCTCACATGGAATCCGTTGACTTCAAACCAACCATGGACACAGACAGATCATATTGCTATAAGCCATGGTTGAAGAGGATCGGTGGAGGGTCGGCGTTTATTATGGAGTACGTGTTTGGACTCCGATCATGTGCTAGTACTGCCTCGTGTATATCTGTACCTTACTAGTCTCAGGAAACAGGTGATATTAAAGCCTGTCTATGCTCGACCGAAAGATGAGAACGTCAAGTACATAACTGGGGAGGATTTAGCTAACCATTTTTATCTGAACGTGACAGTAATCCACATCCTGAGGAAACCTAGCGTGATATAGAGTCTGCTGTAAAAACAGCGGTAAAGACAGTTGGTAACCTATAGCGGAAGGTTAGCGTATGTCAATGGATTTTCGCAACATCATCGAAACACATTGATGCGAGAAGGCTGATTCCAGAAGAGTGAAGGCAACTGGAACGTAAATTGACTAACAGTCTTTGTAAAGATGGCGAGCAGTGGTGGATGGTGAAAGTGAGAGAGACGGAGAAAGCATCAGCGTTGGATAACTGCCGGCAAATATTCAGACGTATTAATGATACCGACAAGAAGAAAATGTTGGTTAGAGAAACCACCACTGAAAAGGATGGGATGCTGATAACCTCTCAGGGCAGACGTCTATAACGGTGCGTCGAACACTTTGAAGCACAGTTTACCTGATCCACAGTAACGCTTAAGTTGCCCTGCATCCAGCCTGAATCTGAATAGGACGTAGATGTCCGTCCTCCAACTCTCCCTGAAGTTGAGAAGATTATTTCTAACCTGAAACCTTTCAACGCAACAAGACCTGTCAGTGTGTCCCTCGAAGTCATTAAGAATCCAGATAAGTAATCGCTGATTAGAGTAACGAAGGTATATATATATATATATATATATATATATATATATATATATATATATATATATATATATATGCAGCCAATTCCAGTTTAAAGATAGGGAGTGAAGCGGTTGAATGTGTCGACCACTTTACTTACTTGGGGAGTTGCACCAGCTTGAACAGCTGGTTGCCAACGAAATCTCAACTGGGATAAATAGGGTCTGTTTGGCATTTGTCAGCTTGTATCATTTGTGGCAGCGACTGGTGAGATATTCGACTATCTATCAAAGGACGTGTATACTGCACTGTAGTCCGTTCTGCCCCGTTTTACGGCTGTGAGACATGGCCGTTGAAATGAGAAGGCATGAAGCGATTACAGGGTTTGATCACAGATGTCTTTGTAGCATTTTTAGGTTCGGTGGGATTACTGTGTGAGGTCGGGCGAAGGGCATTAGGCAAGACAAACAAGTGGATTGATGAGGTTGTGAATCTTAGTCAATTGAGGTAGCTTGAACATGTGTGGCACACGCTGAACCACTGTTGGTTGGAAGAGCGTCCAGAGTTACCCAACTAAGACGTAACACCAGTTCATGAAGTTTCTGACTTTTGGTGTAAGTAACTCATGTAGAGAGGTATAGACAGTCCGAATGGGGTCGGTGAGACGTAAGGAATCAGTGGTTGAGGATTCTTGGTGAAATGGCTGAAAATCGGTCACAATGGCACAGATGTATTCACTCTTTGAAGTCTTTTGAAGCTTGAATGTTTTGGCAAGCCTTAATTTTTAAACCCCCTCTCACCCCATACACACGTTTGTCTACTTTGATATCAGTCTTTGATATACATTTATTCTTTGTAGACTAGTGTGACGTATGGCAATTTGAGCAGATGTACTTGTGTGCGAGGTTCTATATTGAGTATATTGAGTATGTAAGGGTTTATGATGGTATCTGCTTTTTCAAAACTCAGAGGGTCGAACACGTCGAAAGCCTAAACTAATGAGCCATGGTTCTACTTCTAGTTTACTCAATAAAATACTAAACCATTGTTCTGATTCTGGCACCAATGGAAGTATTCTTCCACTATCCCTCATTTTCTTGATCAATATCAGTGATTTGATAAATAAAGCAATGTTTTATACAAATTGGTTGGTTGTGGCTAGCAGAAGAATCCAGGACGCGCGTTTCGTCTCATTTGGGACTCGTCAGCTGGATGCACCTGCACCCCAGTGATGTTGTTCCCACTGGGACTCGAGCCTCGTGCCCATCGCTTTGAACGCCAAGGCGTAATCCACTATGCCACGGAGGAACGATAGCCACTTCTTGTACAATAAATAGTAATAACTACTACCCGTTGTACAGCTGACTAGTTCCAAGTAGGACGAAACACGCATCTTGGATTCTTCTGCTAGCCGCAACTAACCAATTTATCATAATTAACATTCAGGCAATATCAAGGTATCCGCATAGGAGCCCATATGCCAATAGAGGTCGAACAATTCGATCCAACAAAACAACGGAGAATAACAAGTATGTCAATAAATAGTAATATTTTATATAGTTTTAATCCCAACCGAACTGAAAACAGATTTCGCCATGAAGTTTCTATTCTTGGAGGGAAAAAAGTTCTGTTTAATTCAACTATTTTCCTTTTTCAGACTTGACAAAATCTACAATGGTAGAAATATACTGATACGGCAAGAATGATTGCAGTGTTGCAACACAACATCCATATGGAGACCCCGGGATATTTTTGAAAAATTAACAGAACTACAGGATTAGTAGCACTACTTTATTGTTACATTATTTTGTAAATTTCTGTCTATAATTAGATTGTTTATAATAGTAACCTAAGTGACTATTTCTCAAGTACCAAAAAGAAGAAATATCTTATATTTTGAGCCTGTCATTCTTGGTAGGCTTACTGGTTGGTAAAGACGTTAGTTTTCGGAATCTTTCCTCTCAACTTTGAAAGGTGTTGTCTGAGAGAAGGAACAAACTCAACTTTAATGATAATCGTATGTGAAAAACATATTTTCATCTCATAAAAATATACCAACTTTGGGATGTTTAGGTGAAATATTTTGCATATGTTATAGTTCGACACCATTCCATTTCCACACAATCTACAAACGTTTTTTAGCACACTATCATAACTGCTTGTATTTACAACTGTAATCCGTACAATTATGTGAACTATTTTAAGACCTCCAGTAAATTAAATCGTTATCTTCTGAACGCGTTCTTTAGTTTTGCACAAAACTATTTTACCACCTTATAAAGTAATAATGGAATTGTTATAAAGTTGAAAAGCACACAAAACTAACAGGCAAAAGACAGTAGTAACTAATGCTTACCAGTTCCATGTACCACAACCCCTGTATGATAGACCCCAATACCAAGGAGACTGACATAATAATTTAACCAAAGCTAATTAATTGATCAACAAATACACGTACCATCATTTGAACAGGAAGTCGAAACATTTATGAATGGAAGGACAAAAAATATATAAAACAAAAAGTAATTTATCAAGGATCATGTAATCAAATTATTTACAGTGAAATTAGTAATAACAATTGTTCTTATGATACTTGTAATTTTCTATTGTTATGCAAGGCTGAATTGCTCGACCACTGTTGGCGAATGGGCTCCTATGCGGATGTATGGATACTGTTGGATATTCATGACGTTATATTGGTCTTGGTGACTACCAGAGGGAGCCAGGACGTGCATTTCATCCTATTTGAGACTTATCAGCCCGGTGTAGCTGCACCCCAGTGAGTGATGTTGTCTCCACTGAGGCTCGAACCCAGCACACACCGCTTCAAACTTCAGAGCGTTATCCACTAAGCTGTAACAAGTGATACCCGTTGCACAAGAGGTGGTTATCGTGCCCCAGTGGCTTCATGGATAACGCCCTGACGTTGGAAGGGATGGGTACTGGATATGAGCCTTAGTGAGAACGCCACTAACTGAGGTTCAGGAACATCCAGCTGACGAGCCCCAAATAGGACAAAAGGAATGTCCTGGATTCCTCTGCTAATAACCAAGATCAAAGTAATAATGACATTGAAGGGTTAGCTTGCCATATCATGAGTCAACTAACTTTGCAAATAAAAATCAATACATGTTCAAAACCTACTATACTCATAGTAAAATGTGGTGATTCTAAGTTCGATCCCGATAAACCATTGTCATTCACGGCTGAAATCTCTCATATTAGAAAGAAACAACGATTCATCATCACTCCTTGATTTTCAAAGATCGTTCGACTGTCATCGAATTATAGTCAAAATCGCTTTCATTGTTCATGTATTAACTTACAGATCCCAGTTGACATATAAAAACTAAATGTAACATGACACACCCAATAATCGGACTTGAAAATTCCGAATTGATAACTATACCGAGAACTAAACAAATAGAACTACTACGAATAGTAGGGGTAAACGTTAGTCAAGATTCTGCTGGTTAAGGAAGATGTGACTCGTTTTATGTATGTTTAAACTCAGACAAGGCTTGGATCTTGGTTATGAATTTGCACTGAGAATATCTTCTAACTTGAAAAAATAACCTTCACTTGATAGCGCTAGACCTTAAGGAATAATCCAGTGCTGATCGTTAGGATGATTATTAAATGACCAATTAACATATCTGTTTATGAAAAAAAGAGACAGTGCTTGTATTCTTATAGAAAGTATTATTACTGTGCATATTTATATTACGGGATACATGATATTCCATTGTTACAACTACAAAGAACCAATAGTACTAGATACTACATTCGCTGAAAATTGTCAATATGAAAAATATATAACTTTTGAGGCCATCTTGAATACGTCGTCGATAAGGTCATATGTAAACGACAAACATAACGAAATAACAATCATCGAGTTTTTAACTTTCATGATGCTTATGTATTTCTAGCCTATCTCCTGAGCTCACATCCCCAACCATTGTTTTATTTTCAGATAGTATTCATCACCGACTGACATCAGTTGGGGGACCATTGGAAACCTGGGAGCACTGGACAGTTGTTTCGTCCTACCGCGGGACTCCTCAGCAGTACACACCCACGGCCCGGCTACCGACCGAACTCAGGACCTTCAAGTTTCACGAGAACGCGTTGACCATTCAGCCATTAACCTGGAGTTCAATGGTTTACATTTTCCAACTTCTGTTAATTTGCAATATAGCGCGACTATCATCCAAAGTTTTCACATGACATCCACTTCCTTTCCGACTAGTTGACCCCACAGGTCACAGCTTCTCATTAGCACTTCGTGATACCCATCTGGAAGCATGTCACTAATGAGCAGTTTACAGTAATGTATTTTTGAGATGAATGGGGATTTTAGTTCTACATATTTTTTTAAAATCGTACCGCTATGTTTAGAAAATCAAAACCAGGTTTTTCTAGACTTCTCGCTGTGTATACGACAGCTTCTTCAAGAATATTCGTAACAAATATGAGCTGGATGTTTATAGTTACTGATTAGTTAGCTAGCTGCACTATGTTATTCACGCAAACTTGAGCTAGGTGTGGGGGAGGAGAACAAACAATACGGTGAAAAGTAGCGTGACACAAAAACACTGAAAGACATAGATGGGATTGAATGAAGTCTAATACAAAGTTGCTTAATTCCCTTGCCACAATGCTGAGTTCAGTCTTTTTAATCAGACTTATTTCTGTTAGATATTTACACACATTATGGAAAATATTAGCCAAAATGACACAAATCACACTTAAAAATAAGAAAAAAAAGAAGCTGAATATAAAAACGCGAATAGCGTTATAGCACCAACATAAGTGAATTTTGACAGGATATGTTATGGTTGGTGTTTAATGCTCAAGATATCCGGTAGTTCAGATAAAAGGCGTCAACTGAACTGATAAAAAAAACAAAATGAACGGACTGTAAGACTCATATACTTACATACTTGTACTTATAACAAAACACCAGCATATGTACAAAATGTGACAGAAAGTAAGTATGATCATCAATTACTGTAATGGTGAACGTAAAGCACGAAAGACTGTTAATTTGTAAATTATCTGAGCCAACAGATTAGCAGGCTCTTTCCAATTCTTATCGATTTATTAGATTTATCACACAGTGTAACAGTATTGTTTACTGGATTACATTTTGGACATAATTTATTGTCCATAGTCATATCAAGATAATTACACAGCTTTGAGATATCCTTTATACAGTCCTAATTTCCTCGTCTCTTTGTGAGATGGGTAGTAAGATTTTCCATATATCCGGAACAGGTGTTGAGTCATTCCTGTTGCATGTGTTAGCTGTTGATTCGATAAACAAAGATTCAGTTATCAATCTTTCCCTCTACCCTGTTATGTTAGTTTTAGGAATTTTCACTCTATCCCATCCTATTGTGTGCTTGTGTGTAATCGCATGCTGAGCTTTTTTCTAAATTAATATAAGTGTAAAACTTGCGCACTGTGGTAGAATGTAATTCCATATTAGATTTGTTTATTTGATATAAAGCGCACAGTGATACAGTATTATTTACTTGATAACTAACCATTTTTTCATTCTCTTCTATGTGCAGGTCATTAAGTTTTTGTTTCAACTCGTAAGAACTTACTAGTCTAGAGTTTGAACGGTCTCTAACAGGACGTAATACTTTGATATCTCATATGTTGGTGTGTTCCGGAAGTCAACTATCGGCCTAATGGGATAACCTGATTTATGAACCTTAATGGTACCGTAAATTCTGCTAGGATTATTAGTTTTTGGCATTAAAAGTAAACCATTCGGACTTACCTAGAGATGGCTTCAGTCGGAGTATCAGATCTGTTGTAGATTTCTTAATTTTATTCATGACAGTATCCATAGGTGTCTTAATCTCTTTATATGGCCCTGTTTGGATATGTTCATCCATTTTTTTAAGATAATCCGATTTGTCCATAACTACTGTTGAGTTACCTTTGTCAGATTTAGCAATTACTATACTATTATCCTTTCGTAGATTGTTTAAAGCTGAATTTTCCAGTTTTGTTAAGTTTCGCTGTGTCTTCTTCTTTTTTTTTTAGTGCTAATGCACACTGCGCTCTAACCTGTTCAGCAGTTGTCACATCCATCGAGCTTAATGCTACTTCTATGCTAGGTATGACATCTTCTGGTTTTAGATGATCTACTGTTATGTTGAAGTATCACTGTGCGCTTTATATCAAATAAACAAATCTAATATGGAATTTTTTCTAAATTCCTTACCCTACTAGGATCTACCAATTTTGACCTAGCTAGGTTTTTGTGTTCTGGTAGTCTAATTGACCCTGGTCGACTACTTTGACCTATGTATTTGACCTCTCAATTGTTGCAAAGGATTTGGTAAACTAAGTTATTCTGCTTAATTGGGTCAATAGGATCTTTTAACCTACAAAGCTTATTTCTGAGTTTGTAGGTTTAAATGTCACTCTAATCCCAGCCTTCTTGAGAATTCTACATAATATTTCTGAGGTGCCTTCTTTGTATGGTAATACTGTGGAGGTTTTGAATTCTCTATTCACAGTATTGCCGCTACTATTATTAACATCATTATCAACACTATTATTACTATTATTGTTGCTGTTATTGCCACTATTATTATTATTATTATTAATAACTGTGTTACCGATTTTTTTCTTACAATTCCTAAGGAGCTTATCAATTAATTTGGGAGGGTAGTTGTTGATGATTACGGCGTCTTTAATGTATCTGGTTTCTTGTTTTAGATCTTCTGTTTTACTAGTAAGTTTTTTGGCCCTATCACTTAGACACTTTACTAGGCCAACTTTAACTGACATAGGGTGAGACGATTTGAAGTCTAAGTAACGGTTTGGATGTGAAGATTTTTTGTAGACACGAGTGTCTAAACTCCCATCTTGTTTCTGTTTTATTCGGCAATCCAACATCGCTAATTCCCCCTCACTGTCTTCTAATTCATAGATGAATTGGATTCTGTTGACTACTGAATTTATATGTGTGAAGAAATTATGTGTGTTTTCGGATTTCAACACTGTAGACGTGTCGTCTACGTAACGAAACCATATTTTTGGAGTCGGACTAAATTTTTCTACAGCCATCCGTTCCCAACTATCCATAAACATGTCAGCCGCAATAGGGGATATTGGTGATCCCATGGCAACTCCCTCTGTTTGTTTGTATATTTTATTCTGAAACCTGAATATTGTGGAAGTTAGGTATAGCTGTACTCTTAGCATGATATCATCAACTGGTACCTTAGTTCGTAGTGTAAGCTCGTGGTCATTATTGAGTTCGTTTCTAACTGCTTTCAGGGCCATGTCAATCGATATTTTGGTATACAAACTAACTACATCAAAACTAACCACTTTTTCATCGTAATCTAAACGTATATCATCCAGTCTGTGCTTCAAGTCATAAGAGTTAGTGAGTCCTGAT